CTTTCGAAAACTCTCAGAAATGGAAGATATATGCATGTATTTATATATTTAAGTTGGCTGGTCATGCCAAAATCTGATCTGTGCTAAACTCAAATGGTTTGGTTTTGATATGGATGCCAAAGTCAAAGTTCTTTTTAAGATGTGCTGGCTAGAGTGCGATAGTCTGATAAGCAATAGTCTAATGGTGTGGAGAACAATCAACGTTTTGAGTGTCATGATAGTAGAATGCAGTCTATCCCAGAAGCACTGGTCCGTCGGACAAAACAGGTTAAAATCTTATTGGTCCGATGCACTAACAAGTAGAATCGGTCCATTTGTCCGAGGTTCGTTTTGGTTGGGTTTTAAATTACATATTTCCTATTTCATCATGTAGATGCTTTAATTAATATAAAAACACATTATTAAAAACGTTTTGTTGATTGTGATTCTTTTAAAACCTACTTCCGCCACAATGTCTCTAATAAAATTTCGATGGGACAGTACCAGGAAAGAAAAAAAAAAAACATTTCAGTTAATCTTTTAATGTGCTTTCTGTTTATTGATTCATATGCTATGAAGTAACATCGTTATGATCATTATATGATTAAAGTTTTGGACCGGTGAAAATTCATTTGGTCCTGTGAAATTGTGTGAACTGTCTGTCCAAATGTCCTGTGGCGATTCTTCTTTTTCGCGAAGACTGAGAATGGCAATTCTTGATGACTTTGTACTGCATTCAAAAGCAATCAAATTGGTATTAGTGCTCGCATGCATTTTTACCCATAATCATCCGCTTATTGCTTGCACCCCCTGAGATATTAGGGTTAGTCCTCACGCACCTCTTGACTGATAAGGGTTAGTCCTTGTACACCTGCATTGGACTGCTAATGGAATAGCTTTGCCAGCTCACTTGAGAGATTTGGGGTTAGTCCTCACACACTGTCCAACAGATTAGGGTAATAGTGATTGGGAAGGGCTGGCATCATCTCACATCCTTTTTGGGATAGGGAAAATTACATTTTGGGAAAAGTTGGATGACCAACATTCATTAAAAAAAAATCCTCAAATTTTGCTTTTCTAGCATTTTGTTATCAATTTAACTCTGGTTTTGAATAAACAGTTAAACAGAACAAACATGGCTACGATTGCGATTAAGTTTCATGGACTTTTTTTTAAAAATTAATATTTTGCTATGGAAATTGGGAAATTTAAACCTTTCTTTTGGGAAAAAAGGTACCTTTTTTGGCATTGGGAACGGGGCCGAATATCGGCCCCAGATTTAGAGAATCAAGAGCCCTGGCATCATATGCCATAGTCACATTGAAGTGAGAAATAGTGCATTAAATAAATCAATGGTGGCACACCAAAGGCGCCAGAGTGCGCATTCAATTTTTAATGATGTCATTATTTGGAAATATTTTGCATACAACTTTCTTACTTGTTCGACTTGCATTTTAAATGCAGTCACTTTTAAAACAACAAATGTCATTGATTAAACCCCATCAAAAACTGCTTCCAGCTAAATAAGCGCATTTGCATTAGGTACATTACTTCATTCATTTGTATGGTAGGGTGGTGCTCAATCCAAATTTTTAACACAAAATACTGTTAAACTGTATTCAAAAAAAGTTTATTCTTAAAATAGAGCAACCAGTCTAGTACACATTGTAGAGTTCTGAGATAAAATCATTGACCTTTCTTTAAAAATTATGGTACTGTAAGTGTAAAAAAATTGAATTGTTTTGAAATGCATAAAATTTTAGAAGTTTTATTTCAAAACCATGAATAGAAGGATATCTTAGAATTATCATGGGGTTAATAAAATTAAATGATAAACTAGTCATAGGTATAAGCAGAAAAAAAGAAGCAAGGGAATAATATATATACAGCCAAATTTGAGTAACTATTATGTTGAAAGGAAATTATTATGAAAAAGCATTTGTTTACACAGCTATTTCAATAGAATATTAACAGCTAGGAAGAATCAGCTGGCATTGAGGTTGATTTTTTCATAGAAACTAAAGAATGTTTACCATGATAATAGAAATTTTCTACAGATATAGTGTAAAAATTGAATTACCTCCCTTATAATAGTTTTGATTTTTCCCTGGAATAAGATGCACACTGATACACAACTTAAGACACTTTCCTACAGTAAGATTCAGTGCTATTGGTCATGTAAAGTGTGACATCTGTGGAATATTTTTTTCTTTTTCTTTGTATGCTCATAAACATTATTGAATGATGCAGTTTCTACATAGAAGGGAAAGTGTTGGAGGCTGTACAAGTATTAAAGTATTTCTGTTATTTGCAATTGATGTTATAAGTTTATTATGATCCCACTTGTCAATCTTAATATTCTTATTTCTTGACCCTGGGAAGAAGTTATTTATATAGAGGAACCAGAATAAAGATTTTGTTTTGCATGGACTTTTGCCAATGTGATAAACAGTGGAGAAGACTGAATACATGTATTGAAGTGCAAAATGTTTTACATGTAGTTCTCTAAAAAATTAAAAAGACAGAGCAAGTATCTCAATCATTATCCTCTGGCTAGATGCTAGAGCTAAACATGAGATCAAAGACGAGAGACCTTACAATCCTCATATTCATAGGTGTACTACATAACTGTTGTGATCTGTGCATTGTTAAAAAATATGCACATAAAGTTTGACATTTGTCAACATATATATGTAGGTCACACATTTTCTGTATTTATAAATGGGTACTGATTTAAGAGGCAGCTGATTTATTTTTTCTCCACTGCATGAACACACAGCTTATTGTGTTAATAACGGTTACAATAAATTCGCCATTTGCCATGCGTGGACAATATTAGGACCAAGTCTAGCAATTGTTAATTTTTCTCACATACGATTTGATGTCGGTGACATCCATAATGCACCTGAGGCAATCAATCTTAGAAAACAACTGATGAAAATAAATGAAATTGTTGATAAAAAAGTTTTGGTTTGGCAAAAATTCATTTGGTCCTATGATATGCATCTGACTAGGTCCAAATGTCAGGCATTAAAAAAATGTTTTGGAACACTGACTACCAATCTTATCTCTTTTAAAGTTGTAGGATTTATAAAATCCTCTATTCATTGCTGTTTGTTAGAAGTGAGTCTCTTTTCTCATGAAATTTCAGCAAGCTGTCATTAATATTGCAGGTAATGACACCTTTAAAACAATATTGAGACCATGCAATTATTAAATATCAAGTATTGCATAGGGGTTAGATTTAAATCAAGATGAACCATGTTATTTTAAAAGGGTCTTGAATGATACGTATGAAAAAGAATTGCTTGTTTGAACAGCATTTAAATTGATCATATTCTTTAAAGATTTTTGGTGTACAAGAAAACGCAATAAATTTTATAATATATATGTATTTAAAAGCATTATTCTGCTTCTATACATAACAGCTTCTGTATCCATATTCTCGCATTCATGCATAGCAGAAATTAAGAGAAATGAGTGGCCTTTTTCAGACTTTTGATCTCCTTAAAGAAGATTTAATGCTCCATATAAAGATATACAAAAATGATCAAATTTTAAAACTAAAATGTATCAATGAAATTTTTCTTTGCCAAATGATAGTTCACAGCTTAGATATCATAATATCATATGTAATAAATTAAATTATATCATGGTTAATTTGTTTACCCCTAGCCTCTTTAAGATGTAAACTAAATATCTCCCATCACTACACAGGTATACAGTGTTTGTATCACAATACTTTAAAAATTTTTGTGTGTTGTGGTATGCCAGCTTAATTAATTATCTGAATGGTATATATCTGAACACTACTCCCCCTAATGTTCATATTATGTTGCATAATTTAAAACATGCTGAATTCTGATTGTATGGATTTAGCAACCTATGTCTTTGTAAATCATTTATTTTTGTCATCAAGGTAATCATTTCTGAATTAGATTTGTTTTGCATGGGAAGTGAGTGTACAATAAAATATAAATAGCAAGGAAAGATAACTCCTCAGAGATTCCATGTATCGGCTCTGTTCAGTACTGTTAGTAGGGCAATGATTATGAATATGAAAGGCAATCATGAGGTGGATCTAGGAGGGGAGGGGATGGAGAAATAATATTGAAATACATGTGTGGCTTTCGTAATGTAATAGCATAAATCATATCTTATTTAAGTCGGTCATCATAAATAAAGTTGTAGGACGGATTTCATAAAAAGTATTTGTGGAAGAAGTGAGCTGATGACTTCAAAACATTGGATTTTCTCCAGTGATAGACACAAACATATCACCAAGTACCTGAAGTACAGATTAATCTCTATAAAAGGGAGGAATACAAGTTTGAAAAGAATTATCACAAATAAGAAAAATTTAATTTTTTCAAGAGATGAGATCATATTAGAGCAAAGAAATTTTATTTGTGAAGATTTATTTAAAACCAGATTTTTTTTATACAACTGTACATGTATTTTGAAATATACTGCATGAAGACATACTGTAGAAAAAAATAATTACTAGTACATGTATGCATAATCACTAAAATGTAATACATGTACATGTAAACAGTTTTGCTTGTTATAAATGAAAGTGCTATGGAAAAAAGAAAATTACAAAAACAGAAAATAGAAAATAGCTTGAACAATACACAGTGGACATAGAAGGCTATTATCTATCAGAAAAAAATTGTTTTGAGGGCTGAAGCAGATCCATACAATATTCTGTTTGTTGTACTAAGACCTCAGCTGTAATCAGGAGAGGAGAAAATAGAGGGGGCCCCCAAAAATCAATAGGAGAGTTAGGGAGATGAGAAAATCAAACTTATAAAAGTGTGTGGGCAGCCATCCTCTAATCACATCAGGGGCCCTGTAAACTCCTGTCAGTGAAGAACAGAGAACACTATTTATTCTGCAGCTTGTTCTCTCAGGGTCCTTGCACTTGATACAAGGAATTTTAAGTAGCCTTTTCCATACTTGTTGCTCCAAATTTTTCATTCTTCAAGACAGGAGTGCTTCCGTTTTTTTTTTTTTCTGTATTTTTCCTCTACGCCTGTTAAAAGAGTTAAATTGACTTATTTTAACTTTTTGTTTGGACTGAATTCTGAGATCTGTGGAACATATGGAATATTGTGTTTATAGAGCCTCTTACAAGACAAGCTAAAAACTATAGAGAGGCAACGGTGAAAAGCCTCTAATCAATATCCTGGATGATAGGTATTTAATTTTACAACAGGATAACCCCCTAATCATTCAGAAAAAAGAAGTGTTATCAGAAAATTCTCTCTAACAGCTCTACTGATCTATTTTCCTTCTCCAAGGAATGAAATGTGTGTCAGTATTTTTTTTCAACAGGAAATATTGAACAGACTTGAACGGTGGCTTGAGAGAATTTATTTTCTGTGAGTTCTGTGGATCAATTGGGGAATTAGTTCCGTCTTTTCCCCCTCATTGATCTGTGTGATGTTTCATTATTTTTTTCTTCAAAAAAGAGGATTTCTTCATTAATTGCTCCACATGAAATGTTGTTTTCATGCCCTATGGAGATCCCAGGTGTATGAGAATATGAAAGAAGAAAGGTAGGGGGTTTAAGATATAGGAAGTCATTACAAGTATTTATTAGGTAATATAATTTTGATCAGGGTTATTTTTTAAGTTGTTCACTCTTTGCTATGTATTGTTTTAATAAATAGACTTGATACATGTAATGTAAATGATGTGCAGGAAAATCTGAATTCAAATGGAAATAATCAAACCACAAATTCTATATGAGCAGGAAAGATTATGCATAATATTATGAAATGTGTATGTTTGCATGAAAGATTGGATACAGAATACCATATGATACTTTTAATGTTGTAGTTGTCTTCAGTAACTTTTAAAGAACTTAGGTTTTAATATTGATACAAGCTATTCCTGATTTAATTAGTCCTAAAATAAGAGTTTGGACACAGCTAGTCTACCTTAAACTTTTCTTTGCAAGGTGATATTAAAAGTCCTTAAGTTCTTGCTAAACTTCCACTTACAGTTTCTTGAAATGCATGATTCACACTTTGGATAAAATCAGCTAAAGTGTTGGAATTAGATCTAAGAGAAAGAAAGCACACTTCTATTTCTGGAAGCCCTTGATTTTGTACAGAGATGAAAAGAGTTTAAATATACCTCCAGCATGCATTGTGGGTTACCATTGATTTAAGGATGTGAAGCTTTATCTGAATCAAAAGATGTTTTTTTTCAACATTTTAAACACATCAGGTGAATATATATGCTAGGTTAACTAGAGATACATAGCATGTTTAGTGTAAACTATCCCCTAATATAACAACAAGTAGATTGTCTATTGTGACAATGGACAAAAGAGATAATTACTTGAACACTGAGACACACACACACAGACAGGAAATAAGCAATGTCGTTTTGCCCACGAGATTTATTTATCTTTGTTTATGCGTTGTAATGTTATTGGTCAGTGAGAAGATTAGGGATTTAATTGAAGCTATTCTATTATTTTCATTCGCTTCTTACGACAAATCCAAAAAAATCTGTGATTTCTAATTATTTAAGCATAACTTTTCATCATGTTCATTCTTTTGTTTAAACCTGTATTTGTGTTGACATGTTGGTTTGTAAAATACACCAGGTGCATTGCATACCTTGAGAAATACAATAGGTACAAATTGACTGGAACACAATACAAAAGATTGCATAATGAAGATCAACTTTCAGAAATCATTGCATGGTTGGGATTAAGGACAGACGAGACGTTCCTTAATAATAGATAAATTTTTGTAAGAGTTTGTCATTGAAGTATTGCTACTAAAACATGTTTACTCACAAAAAATTGAGGTACCTTACCAGACATTTCCGCAAAGAAAAATAATTTTCTAATTTCAAATTTTTAAGTGTTTGGATTATTTAAAAACGTCTAGAAACTGGTTTAGAAATAAGAATGTTATGAAAAAATGGAATATTTTTCATACATTAACTAAGATATACAAAACAGATTTTGAGGAATGTCTCGTCTGACCTTAAGTTACCAAATTTAAAGTAACAATACTGTAAAGGAAATGTAAATATGCATGCTTGCCAAGAATTATCATGTCTTGAGGTGCTTTAATTAGAAGTACATGTATTATAATGGAGGAATGACAAAATAACACCATGATTGATACATCATAATCCATCTCATCATCAGTGGAATCTTACTGTAGTACACGATACCAAAGTACAGAGTATATGTTATTAAATTGGACTTCTTAGACTGTGTATTTTTACCATTCATAAGGATGCCTTGAGAAAATATGTATCATTGCAGACAATTATGGAAGCTTGTAGATAGGAAAAATATATTTTATTTGGCGGCCACCAAATTAAAAGATCTTGCGGCTGCCAGGTAAATTACTGGTAGCCACCAAATAATTATCTGGCATCTGCCATATATTGTACATGTTATACGGCAGCAACCAGATAAAAATATTTTTTTTTCTACCTGGCACCAACTGGCTTCCATAGACAATAGTAAAACAATTGTTTTAAATGTATTCAAACTATTTTAAGTGTAAAATACACAGAAAAACTCGCTTAAAATGCAAATACAGGAAAACTGTAAAATACAGAAGAATTATTTTCAAGTTTTTATGTTAAGCACTTTGAAGATAATCTACACCGCTGCATTCATATGTCTGCATGAAGATTGAGTCATAAACTGTCAATCAAAAGAATATTGCATAAGCAACAGATGCATTTGAGCTGATTCAGAGTCTAGTCTATTGTAAATGTGTATACATATAAATGGATCTGTTTTATATGATCTGTTCGGTTTTCAGGGCCGAGCACAAGCGAGCGGAGCCAGAATATGAGGAGGAGGAGGAGGAAATCTTGGGCTCGGACGACGACGAACAGGAGGATCCCGAGGACTACCAGAAAGGTAACACTCTTAACAGAAACAATGAGGACAAGCATAAAGATATCACCATAATGAAGTGTGGTTACACTGAACACTTTTGTACCAGGATTTTATATGCAAATTAAGGTCAAATTAAAGTACAAAAAACTACAAAGTGTTCAGGTACAAAATGCCAATGAAAGATATATGTACAGATCCAGGAAGTACTTAATAAAAAAGTATCTTTTGTTGGTCCGCCTGAGCCAAAGGCTCAAGTGAGCTTTTCTGACCAAAATTTGACCGTTGATGGAAACTTGTCACATTTTCATCTTTTTCTCATGAACCACTGGGCCAATTTCAACTAAACGTTTTAAGCTACATCACTCTGTTTCATCTTATAAAGTTTGATGAAAATTTGGTAATTTTTCATTCATCATCTTTCCCCCTATTGTAACCTAATGTCAAATGACTTGATCGACTTGTGCTCTCGATTAGCAAAAAGAAAAAAGATTTTTAAACAAATGTACTGAATAATGATTTTCTTCATTTCATTTACTCTCTTTTTTTGGGTGCAGGCTCCAAATTCATGGTTTCATTGCTTCTAAGAATTTAAGGAAAGGGGATAAAGTTTGCTCTGTGGAAATAATGATAGTGGTTCTTATGATCAAACTTGTAATCACATGTTTTTGTATCTTGTATAGTAAAGGTAGGATGAGTCTGTATTTAATTAAAAGCAGTTGTTCACTTTGAAATACATCATGACAAGAGATGGCCCTCTACCTGTCTATAAAACTATACAGACAGATTTAGACGGTGGATTATTCAGAGGACTTAGACTGACAGATGTGCTGGACATTAACAGTGGACCATACATCAAACAACGGTGACATTGAGGTGATTGAATCCCTGCAGATCAATTGTTCAATCATCACCTCAATGATAGCTCTATCATACAACTTATCTCATTCTGCATGTCCTACATATACAGTGGATTTAGTGATTCATTGGCAGTCAGGTCACTTTTGTGTGTTTGATATATATCCAGTGCAACTTGGATGCTTTATCATTAAAATATTGAGAAAACCTATAAAATGTATGAATATATACATGATATAGGAGAAGATGGGCTCTTTGTTTATCAAAATAGCCAATTTTGTACTTGCTTCTGTTTGTAGTTCAAGGAAAGAAAAACATGTAATGATTTAAAAACTTGAAGACTTAATTATGTCTCACACCAAGGTAACCAACATTAGGACATTATTAGGGATATAAACAAAATGACATTTTTATATATTTCTTTTTTTATGCATAAGTATTAAGTATTGTGTAATATTTAAAGAGCACTGCTTTTAGACATTTTGGAGCAATTAGTAACTGTGTGACAGGGGGAAAAATATCATTTAATCAAGGTCACTATATAATTCACAAAGCTGAGGTTAGATTGTAATTTGTTTAAAAAGTCTTCAAAATTTGATTTCAAAAGATTTGTTCAGTAAAGAAAGGTCTCAACTAAATTTAGTTTAAGTTAAATTCATTTTTCAAGGTACATGTAAAATAAAACTTCTTTTAATACTGATCGAGACCAAATTAAAATTATTTTTTTTAGGTTAATTCCCTAAGGTTTTTAAAAATGTTTTGTTAATTAAACTCTGAGAGCAAATTAACAGTGTTTAAAGCTATCATTGATGAACTGTTACAGTATTTTGGGGGGAAACATATAAATTGTTTTTGTCCCAAGACACATAACATTGTGTCCATGAACCTTTTTTTAGCAAGAAAACCTCTTAATGGTTTAGTGCATTATTCTTGTCAATAACAGGCCATAAAATAATGTGGTAACATTGACTGGGTTGTCCATCTATATACATGATGAATAAAGGAGAGGAAAAAAGGTCTCAGAGGGGTCAAAATGATAATCAGTGGTTAAGACTCGAGTTACACCTCACTTTCTTACTTACCATGAGGAATACTGTGTTCTACCTTGCTTATTGAGGGAGAGCTGGAAAATATTTTGTGGGATTAGAGAAAAAATGGCCAGTGGTTATACAGAGGAGTTTTTCTATGGCAGTACTCCAGTGAGAAATGATGAACTTCCCCCTCCCTATGGGGATTTCATATTCCGTCCCCCAACCAGACGACCAATTGTTAAAACCTCAAAGAGCTTTAAAGACAAGAAACCTAAGAATAAGGGCAAAGGTCCCCCTTCTAGAATGTACGCCACTGTCAGAGATCCAAGAATAGTGCCTGGCAGGGATCCAAGAATTGGACCTGGACACCCTTTGATACACCCAGACTTTATCACCCCTCAGAAATTGATTCCAAAGATTGTACCCCCTCAACCAAAGCCAGTCAAGCCTGCAAGATCCAAGAGCTTTAATGACAACAAAAGAATTGCAGAACAGAAAGTAAAGATGGTAGATGCATCTAGGACCTACAGGTGCCAGAGCTTCCCTGTTTCTGATAATAACTCAGAGGACCATGGAGTTCGAGGGTTTGATTTACCTCAGAAGGTACCTTACCATCCAAAGCAAAGGTTAGGACTCCATGAAGAGCTATTTCATCCACCATCCAATCTCCGAGAACCTTCCTCACCCCCCTTTTATAATGTCGGCCCACAACAAGGCCTGCTTTTTGGTAGGCCCTCAGGAAATGTGGGATACAATAGGATGTATGTGCCTTCTAATGAATCTGGTACCAGCTTAACTCTGACGGAGCTGAACCAGTCAGAAGATGAAGAAAACGCTGTACCAGAACAAAAACCTCAGAAGAAGAAAAGCACAGTCAGACAAATTCTAAGCAGTCTGTTTTCATCAAAGAAATCCAGTGTCCAACCTCCTTCTAAATCTGAGAGAAAGAAGTGCAAAGAAGAAATAAGACCTGTTGCAAAATCACTGTCCAGCGAGATAACTAAAGAGGAAAACACTGAGGAGAAGAATGCAAGTATTGCAGCCAGTTCATCTGTAGAAGTGGAAGACTCCATTAAAACTAGTGGCAAAACTGGTAGACTAAGTGCAAAGATCACGCATCAAAATGAGAAACAAGATCAAATTATTCTGGAACTGAAAAAGAAAAACAGCTGCTCTGGAAAAGATGACGTAGGAGCAGGACAAGAAGAGCATGGAGAACAAATAGAAATGAAAGGAGAAGACAAAGCAAAAGTAGAAGGAACAGATAAAAGGGAATGTTATAATGGTGTCCAGGAGGTTGCTAGACAATCTGACATTGTGGACACAAGGAAAGCGTCCAATGGCACTGGGGAAAAGTTGAAGAAGTCCCACTCAGTACCTAGTGATCTGTTCAAAAGGAAAAGCAGGAAGTCAGAGAATGTGTCTGGAAATGAGGTCTTTCATAAAGCTGATGTGGAATTTTCAAAATCATTGGGAGAGTTCATTCGTATGAATCAACAGAAAAATGAATCTGACTTGAATAACACAGAAGGGACTGTAAGAAATAAACAGAATGATTCACCAGGTATTTCACAGCCGGATTGAAATTGGACCAATAGAGAGAAGTTACGGATGTATTCATCATCTTGATGAATTTTTTATGACTGTCTCCAATATCTTCATTTGTTGGAATTTGATAGCATTTTCACCCTTAAATCAGACCTGATTGTTATATCTGCTTTATGTTGAATCGATAATGTGCATACAAAATATCTCATTCTTATATCATATTCCTGTTATTTTATTGGGAATGTCTTCAAAACCAGTGCTAAGACACATTTCTTTGGATGTTAGTGGACTGAAGGAATAAATGAATCACAGCAGAACAATAAACTGAAGACAAAATAATAAAGAAGTGTGTGTTTTAGAAGAAAAGACTTGGAAAAGGAGATAGGCAAATAAAGTCTGCATATCGCCTATAATAGCTTCAGATGTATAAAAGTCATGCTGTAAACCAACTTTTATTCACGTTAGAGAATATTCGCAAGTTTTGCAACATACTTGAAATGTTGAATATTAATTGCCATGAACCATTTATTTTGCTTTGTATTTATAATGAATGTTTCCCCAGTCACAAAGTTAATCGCAGCAGGTTCATTTCAAACTGACATATCGGGAATAAAAGATGCCAAAAATAGTTGGTTTACAGTACTCACTTTGTGAATTTGATATTTGCATGGAGTTCTTACCATTGAAAGGTCTGAAAGTTTTACAAATTAAACATTACTGCAAAAAATTCTTTTGAAAAGTGGACCTCTCATATGGGAAAGCTGTGTTTAAATGGAATATTGATCATTTTGCCCTTGCATGGTGGTGTATTTTTGGTGTTTCATAGACCACTAACTTCAATTTTTGTATGTTTATAGCAATTTATGGATATGTTATTTTACATGATCGAAAAAATAAAATTTAAAAAAATATTGTAATTGAGTTTTAATTTGTTCATTTTCATGATTGTCGCACAATAGGCATTTTGCTTACCATATTCACCCATATTCTTATATACCTGGTACCTAACATTACACTACATGTTGTTCGTTAAAGATGTGCAGCCTTAATGCTTAAACATTGTAACAAAAAAGAATGCTGAACGTTGTTTTATTTTATCTAGATATTGACTTCGTTCTTCTACTTTTTATGTGTCCTTCAGTGTGATTTGGATGAGGGACAATTGAAGTTGATTACAGAGTAGATGAAGTAGTGGGACTGGGGGACTATTAATAGGAGAAGTTGAATTTAAACCTAGTAAATCACTTCAAACTGTGGATAATTTGATGTTGATGTTTGTGAAAAGGTTTGGTAAAAATTTATCTTGGATGAAGAAATATCTCGCGGGAACTGGGCACTCATCAAAATCAACAGAATTTAATTTGGAGAGAGGGAGGGAGATAATGTATTTGTCATAATGGATTTTAAATGATATACGATGAAAAAATGTACATTTGTTTTAGAAATAGGTAAAACAAAGAATTATAAATAAAGCACATTAAACCTGGCCTGGCCCCTTTGGCCTGGCCTGGCCTGGCCTCTATTTTGGCCTCTAATTTGGCTTCAAACCAAATTTTGGCCTGGCCTCAAAAGTTGGCCTGGCCTCAAATTTGGCCTCTGTAAAAAATGTTGGCCTCAATTTTGGCCTCACTCAAAAATAATTTCTTTTTCAGAATTTGATTGATTTGATTGATTTTTTTATTGGTATCATTTTTTCAAAGATTAAGCAGTTAGATGATATATTTCTGTTGATATGTAAATGTAAACATTAAAAGTAATCATGTACTACCACCAATATGATTTATTTTATTGATTATCAATCGGTCAGTGTACACTTATTTCATTTTATGATTTGATGACCAGTATTTCATTCTTACACACTACCGACACTCTTGCTTAATTATTTTGGGAAAAAAGTATCAGCGTTTATTTTTTGTTTTCCAAATTGTGTATATTGAAAAAATCTCTAGTAATAATTTATGTCAGATGTTTGAAAAATTCCACTTGTTAAGTGATGAATCATCACTTTTCACACACTTTAGAGTCTTGCATTATCTTAAATGTGATATATGAATACAGGCACTACAGAATTTTTAAATAAATATACTACCACATACCAATGCAGATACCAAAATATTTATATTAATATACTGATTTGATTGTTCAAAATTCATATGTACTTTAATCTCAGAACAGTTGGTATTTAAAGAATTGATATAAATAACATTTATCAGATAATTTGTAACTTTCTGTTCCTGTGCAGTAACACTGTAATTGGATATCTAATGACAAAAAATCCTGCAGCATGGTTCTTGACAGGGAGTTAAGGTTGATGTTAATCAGTAATGAAATGTGTATAGGCTGTTAAGCCACCCATGATTTGTAAAAAAAAATTCCTGCTACAACTTTCACTACCTACAATTATCAAAACAAAAAATGAGTTTGATGATAGTTTATTAACATTTGTGCTGTAAAACAATTGAATCCTATCAACCAGACCATTAGAACCCTATCATATAAAATGTGGCCAATTACTTGCATATCATAGTATTGACACTTTTTCTATCAGTTTTTAAAAGTAGTCCTCGTCCTCAAAGATTTTTTTTATTCTGAATAAAGACAGTTTTAAAAAACTTGTAACAAGTAATACCTAAAATAGCAAATTTTAAATTCTATTTAGTTTAGTTCTTAGGTAATTACTACCCATCTGCATTTCTTTGTTGTCTTGATAATTAAAATTGATGTTTCTAAATGTTTTACTCTGTTTAATCCTACCATGGAAAAAAAATTAAAATCACATTTACTATTTAAATCATTAAGATACGATAGTATCTTATTGAAAGTAAAACTATATGCTCTGTGTTATAGTCTTCAGAATTGCAACTGATCAATAGAAAATCAATAAAAATAAATCAGATTGGTAGTAGTGTATTATTATTTTAATGTTCACATTTACATATCAACAGAAATATATAATTTAACTGCTTAATCTTTGAAAAAAATGAAACCAATAAAAAATCAATCAAATCAATCAAATTCTGAAAAAGAAATTATTTTTGAGTGAGGCCAAAATTGAGGCCAAAATTTTTTACAGAGGCCAAATTTGGGGCCAGGCTACCTTTTGAGGCCAGGCCAAAATTTGGTTTGAAGCCAAATTAGAGGCCAAAATAGAGGCCAGGCCAACTTAGAGGCCAGGCCAGGCCAAAGGGGCCAGGCCAGGTTTTAGAGTATGCCCTCAGATATTGGTAGAACAGTGGTTAGATGGTATTTGACTGTGATGGGTGATCTTTAGTCTAACTGATGGTTCAGTTAACAGTAGACAGACAAACAGTTGTTCATTTCAATTATTTTTCATTCCTGAACAACCAACAGAGTGATATAATGATTCATCATTACACAACTAGCTGTGTAATGTAAACAATGTACAACTATCAGTTTGATATAAAGATTTATATATACCTCTAGCGATGTAATTAAAAGATGCATCATATTATACAAAATACTGGTTCATATCATGCTCATTGAGAATAATACAATTGTTATGGATATAGATTGAATTCCATTTTCAGTTTTTTTTCTGCCCGAATGAAGATCTGTAGGAGATTTCCTTGTATACAGCCATTACAAGTCTATAATATGTCTACAGAAAGTCATAAAACACAGTCCACTATGGATTGGAAATTAATTTGCTTCATTTTGGTTATCAGAATTGGGAAAGTTTCCAATCTTTAGAATGATGGAGGAACTGCTTGATTAAGTAAAGAGATTGATTTCATCCTCCGTGTATATATAAATGTAGAAAAAAAAATCTGAGAAACATACAGTAAGAAATCATTCTGTGTTTATATAAAAGTGCAGAAATAAAATCTGAGAGAAGAACAGTAAAACACAGTTATGCTGAGGTTTCACATGATTATGATTATAATGAATTTACACTTTAAACAAAGTTGCTTTAATTCCAAATAGTTTTAAAATTTGTGAACTGAATAGATACAACAAAATTCTTGGTCCCTATTGTTGCATTTTGCTGTGAATATGGTTTAATTTTTTTGAAGTACAAAAAGTATTGAATTAGTAAGATATGTTACATGTAAGTGCCATGGTCCCATGAAGCCCAAGATGAAAAGGTCTGACTGTATAGAATTGAAAGTAAAGAAAGTCTGCAAAAGAAGGATAGAGAGTCAACAAAAAAGATCAGCTATGTTACAGATGTCCATCATGAATCTGTCTATATGTAACAAATTTGCAACTCCTTCAATTTTAGACCAACCTCAATATATTTGGACTACGATTTAAAAAAAATCTATTATAAGGATTAAGTTATTTCAAAGTACTTGTAATTGTAAATATTGGTAAAAACAGTATTATTAGTTAACTGAGGAATGTTTGTTGTAGGTGGATACCACCCAGTGAAGATTGGAGATCTCTTCAACAACAAATACCATGTGATCAGGAAACTAGGCTGGGGGCATTTCTCTACAGTGTGGTTATGCTGGGACATGGTGTGAGTACTATTAACTTTTCCTATATTTAGTAAGGATGCATTTCTCTAAAGTATGGCTATGCTGGAATATGATATGCATAGAAATTGTTTGTCCCTGTCTACAATATATAGGAGACATTTCTGCAGTATGGCTATGTTAGGTCATGGTGTGAGTAATAAGTAATTGTTTTTTTTTTTTTGTCCTTATCTTCAATTTGGGTGCATTTTTCTACATTATGGCTTTGTTGGGACATAGTGTGAATCCAATAATTGTTTTGTTCTATATTTAGTAACAGTGATTGAATCTTGGAAACTCAGTTTTGTTGCAAGTTGTTCATTATAAAAGGAAGGCAGTTTATTTATTGTGACAGCATGATTTTTCTGAAATTTATTGAAGTAGACAGAACACTCTATCACAGAGAATTGCCTTCTCTACAAATCAGAAAGCCAGCAAATGTATGTAAGACTAGGGTCTAAACTGGACTTGCCTTTTGTATTTACATAAGTTAGTAGATAATTGAAAATATTTCAGTTGACATTTTTTTAAATTCATGCTGAGTCTTATTCTGTGGGGTGGGGGTGGTTGGGGGGGGGGGGGGAGGAGTCCATTCTCCAATGACCTCTGTGGCAACGCACTTTGAAAAAATTACGCACTTTGAAAAAATTTTTCAAAGTGCAGCAAAATCAACGCACTTTGAAAAATTTTTTCAAAGTGCGTAAGCACTTTGAAAAATTTTTTCAAAGTGCGTTAAGAGTGTACATCAATATATTTTACCTTGGAAACACTTGCACTTTTGTATTTACATCTTTCAAAAAACTAAGCCTAACCCTAACCTCAAAAACGAATTGATTTACTCCCGTGAAAATATTTAACAAACGGGGGAGGGGAGCAATAAACCTAAAAAGGGTATGCTGCATTTTCAATGCTTATACGATGTATATATCTTTCCAAAATAAGTGGGGGGGGGGCTTAGCCCCCCATCCCCTCCCCTGGCCCTTCGCCCAGTCTCGATGTCTATGCTATACTCAAAGCATTCATATAATTATGTATTTACCTAACTGGTAAGACGTTAAAAACTTTCAATAATAAATGAGTAAATTAAAACAGATGAAAACTAGAAATTTTTAAGTACAGTAAAACGTATGAGAGGGAAAGAATTTTCATAGTTTTGAACAATCAAATTGGCCCCTTTTTCTTATGATAAATGCTAAGTTGCTTGAAGCTATCCTCTGTTAGTGCTCTTTACATCTACATGTACATCCAAACGAATTAATGAACTTAAACAATCGTCACTCTTTTTCTCAAGACCCTTTAATTTTCCCTTTTAATTTATCAAAACCTTAAATATTTAAAACGTCAATATCTCAGGTCCTACAGTGACTTTATCATAAAAAAGTTATCAAACCAGGTTCTGTTATTTATCATACCGATTATTTGAAAGAATATTGATCAATCTTTACATTTTTTTCAAAGTGCGTTATATGGTCGAACACTTTGTTATTTTTTTCAAAGTGCGTTATACGCACTTTGAAAAATTTTTTCAAAGTGCGTAATTTTTCAAAGTGCGTTGTAACAGACCTCTCATAAACAAGAATGCATTCATATATAAACATGTATGATACAAATGTCAATCTGGTCTGGGTTTTGAAAATTTATAACATAAAATGTAATGTTTTGATCTGGTATTTCAGAGCGAAGAGATTTGTTGCTTTGAAGGTTGTAAAAAGTGCACAACATTATACAGAGACTGCACTGGATGAAATCAAATTACTGAAATGTGTAAGTTTTCTAGACAGTCTTGAGTAATTAAATTATCAAGTTACCAATATGTTAAAATTATTCTTCAGATTAAATAAAATCGATGAATTTCTTGCTATTTCAATCAACACACATTTTCCATAATAAATACAAAATAGTGAACATTTGAAGGATGAAAAGCATTTTGACATTTTGTCTTGAATATGTAGTTTTATTTCTGAAAGTTTATATTTTGTGTAAAATTTCTGCATGATTTATCTTCAGGTTCGAGATAGTGATGAAAATGACCCGTTCCGGGAGAGAACTGTGCAGCTATTGGACGACTTCAAAATCTCGGGGGTCAATGGCACACGTATCCTTCAGTTAAAAAAAAAAATTTAAAAATACTTTTGATGAAAAATCAATCTGCTTTGTGATATTGATAAAACTAGTTTATGAAGGTTAACTGCAAAATAAATGTCCTCCTTAACAGTCCTCTTCAGATGTCTGCATGGTGTTTGAAGTCCTGGGCCACAATTTACTTAAACTAATAATCCGTTCAAATTATCAAGGAATTCCTATACAAAATGTTAAACACATCATTAAACAGGTAGTTTTCTGGTCTTTCCCTACTGTCACAGAGGCTTGATTGTCTCTGATTAAAGTTTCTCTTTTGTTTCCTTCTAGTCTTCAGGAGTAGAAATTACGTAAAATGAAATAATTGTACTTTAAAATATTTTAAATTCATTTTGTGCCTTTCAAAGACATCAACAGCAACCAAAAAAAAAATCAATTTTGAGTCTGCAGCGCTTGATATTGATATGATAATTCTTTGAAATTGCATCAAGGGAATCTTTTGGATGAATAGTTTGATACATTGTGTAATTAGCTCACCTGAGCCGAAGGCTCAAGTGAGCTTTTCTGATCAAAATTTGTCCGTCGTCTGTCGTCGTTGTCGTTGTCGTTGTTGTTGTTGTCGTCGTTGTAAACTTTTCACATTTTCATCTTCTTCTCAAGAACCACTGGGCCTAGTTCAACCAAACTTGGCACAGGGTTTCCTTGGATAAAGGGGATTCAAGTTTGTTCAAATGAAGGGCCGCGCCCTTTTCCAAGGGGAGATAATCATGAATTTGTTAAAAATTAATGGCATTTTTAAAAAATCTTCTTCTCCAGAACCGCTGGGCCAGGAAAGATGAAACTCATGTGGAATCATCCTCAGGTAGTGTAGATTCAAATTTGTTCAAATCATGACCCCTGGGGCAAGGGTGGGGCCAAAATGGCCGACCCAAGTTTTACATAGGAATATATAGGAAAAATCTTTAAAAATCTTCTCCAGAACCACTGGGCCAGGAAAGATGAAACTCATGTGGAATCATCCTCAGGTAGTGTAGATTCAAGTTTATTCAAATCATGACCCCCAGGGCAAGGGTGGGGCCAAAATGGCCGACCCAAGTTTTACATAGGAATATATAGGAAAAATCTTTAAAAATCTTCTTCTCCAGAACCACTATGCCAGGAAAGATGAAACTCATGTGGAATCATCCTCAGGTAGTGTAGATGCAAGTTTGTTCAAATCATGACCCCTGGGGCAAGGGTGGGGCCAAAATGGCCGACCCTTGTTTTTCATAGGAATATATTAGAAAAATCTTTAAAAATCCTTCTTGAGAACCACTGGGCCAGGAAAGATGAAACTCGTGTGAAATCATCCTCAGGTAGTGTAAATTCAAGTTTGTTCAAATCATGACCCCGGGGGCAAGGGTGGGGCCAAAATGGCCGACCCCAGTTTTACATAGCAATATATTAGAAAAATCTTTAAAAATCTTCTTCTCCAGAACCACTGGGCCAGGAAAGATGAAACTCATGTGGAATCATCCTCAGGTAGTGTAGATTCAAGTTTGTTCAAATCATGACCCCCGAGGCAAGGGTGGGGCCAAAATGGCCAACCCTTGTTTTACATAGGAATATATAGGAAAAATCTTTAAAAATCTTCTTCTCGAGAACCACTGGGCCAGGAAAGATGAAACTCATGTGGAATCATCCTCAGGTAGTGTAGATTAAAGTTTGTTCAAATCATGACCCCCGGGGCTAGGGTGGGGCCAAAATGGCCGACCCAAGTTTTACATAGGGATATATAGGGAAACTTTTTAAAATCTTCTTTTCAAGTACTTCAAAGCTATGATTAGTGATATTTATATGGAATCATCCTCAGGTAGTGTAGATTCTAATTTGTTTAAATGATGAACGCCTGGAGGAGGGGGGGGGGGAGAAATTCAAGCCCGATTTGCTCAGGTGAGCGCTGTGGCCCCTGGGCCTCTTGTTTTATTAAAATCGATGTTTTTTTTCTTGTTTATTCTCTCCATGAGAAGCTGCTTTAAATTAAGATTAAACAAGGCATTGATAGATTTCCTTCAGTAATATTCACGAATTTGATCCCATAAATATTGTACATGTACTGTTAGTATTGAAACATTGATTTTACTCAGATTTCTACACGCAATATTTTCTGTGTAGGCAGTGTTCATATTTGACATTTCATTGACATAGTATTTGTATTTCATTTGTAGGTTTTACAAGCCTTAGAATACCTCCATGACAAATGTAAAATAATTCACACTGATATAAAACCTGAGAACGTCTTGATGTGTGTAGATGAACCTTACATAAGAAAACTGGCGGCGGACGCCTGTGAATGGCAGAAGCTGGGGGCTAAGCTTCCGGGATCAGCTGGTATGTAGGTGGATAATGTCAGATATTTAAAAAAATTACTTCTTTGACTTTCGGGGGAGGTAATTTATTTATGTGCCTAGGGACTTGCAAGATATATGTAGTATGACATACTTTGTAGTTGAAGATCACAGTTAATTAAATGTGCAAATTTAGACATTTTCTCTTTGTAATTAAATCTTGTGGAAAGCATGTATCATTTTGTGAATTAAAAGTTAATTGAATTTTACGGCTTTGTTAACACAGAATGCTATACTGAAAGAGCAAAACAAGTCCTTGGTATTTTGTTTTAAAATCCTTTATTGGATTCATCCATTACCATTTTTAGCTCTACTGGTCAGAGACCAGAAGAGCTTATGCGATAGTAATGCGTCCGTCGTCCGTCCGTCTGTCTGTCTGTCTGTCTGTCTGTAAACAATTTTTCAAAATGCTACTCCTCCTACAGTTTTGGTCCGATTTCAATATAACTTGGCACACAAGTAGACTACACTAAGATACATAATTTTGTGCATCGGTTTTTGATTTCAATGAACGATGTTGCCGTGGTTACTAAAAATAGAAATTTCTGTGAAATTCTTTCAAAATGCTACTCCTCCTACAGTTTTGGTCTGATTTCAGTATAACTTGGCACACAAGTAGACTACACTAAGATACATAATTCTGTGCATCGGTTTTTGATTTCAATGAACGGTGTTGCCGTGGTTACTAAAAATAGATATTTCTTTGAAATTCTTTCAAAATGCTACTCCTCCTACAGTTTTGGTCCAATTTCAGTATTACTTGGCACACAAGTAGACTACACTAAAATACATAATTCTGTGCATCGGTTTTTGATTTCGATGAACAGTGTTGCCGTGGTTACTAAAAATAGAAATTTCTTTGAAATTCTTTCAAAATGCTACTCCTCCTACAGATTTGGTCCGATTTCAGTATAACTTGGCACACAAGTAGACTACACTAAGATACATAATTCTGTGCATCGGTTTTTGATTTCGATAAACGGTGTTGCCGTGGTTACTAAAAATAGAAATTTCTTTGAAATTCTTTCAAAATGCTACTCCTCCTACAGTTTTGGTCCGATTTCATTATAACTTGGCACACAAGTAGACTACACTAAGATACATAATTCTGTGCATCGGTTTTTGATTTCGATGAACGGTGTTGCCTTGGCTACTAAAAATAGAAATTTCTTTGAAATTCTTTCAAAATGCTACTCCTCCTACAGATTTGGTCCGATTTCAGTATAACTTGGCACACAAGTAGACTACACTAAGATACATAATTCTGTGCATCGGTTTTTGATTTTGATAAACGGTGTTGCCGTGGTTACTAAAAATAGAAATTTCTGTGAAATTCTTTCAAAATGCTACTCCTCCTACAGTTTTGGTCTGATTTTGATATAACTTGGCATACAAGTAGATTACACTAAGATACATAATTCTGTGCATCGGTTTTTGATTTCAATGAACAATGTTGCCATAATTACTAAAAATAGAAATTTCTGTAAAATGCTTTCAAAATGCTACTCCTCCTGCAGTTTTGGTCTGATTTCAGTATAACTTGGCACACAAGTAGACTATACTAAGATACATAATTCTGTGCATTGGTTTTTATTTTGATGAGTGGCAAGGATCATTTTTCTATTTATTGCTGATTTAAAGTCTGAAGTCCCAACTGCTACTTTTCTCTTCCTTTGTTTTAAGTATAAACCAGTAGAGCTACAGTCTCGACAGAGACTTCTGGTTATCTATATGTTCATTATTAATAAAGTTATTTTTTATGCTGCACAACATCATGATACAAGTTAGATAACTTTCCTAAAAATATTTGAAATATTTGAATACTTGAAAATGAATATCAAATGTTAGTGATTTAGTCATAAAAAAAATACATGTGTTATGTAATTTACAGTGAGTACTGCTCCAAAAGAAAGAGCACCAGAGCTAGGCAAGATGTCAAAGAACAAGAAGAAGAAGATGAAGAAGAAGATGAAGAAGCAGCAGGCTTTACTGGAGATGCAGATGCAGCAGATAGAAGAAGTGACCTCACAGGTTCCCCTTGATTCTGCTGACACATGCGACTTATTGGTAGTTATAGCGACTCTCCCCATAGCCTGTTTCATGTTCAGATTCCTACACAACAAGTCAAGTTTCCTGTGGAGGGGAATCATCAATTTGATATTTCTGAAGAATCCATTACATAACAGTTTTATTACACCAACAAAATTATAGGAGATTTATTAAACCGGAGACTCGAACATTTTTAAAAAACAATATAGAGGCATTCAAATAATCAAAAATGCATGTAAATGCTACTAATTTTTTAGCTCACCTGAGCTGAAAGCTCAAATGAGCTTTTCTGATCACATTTTGTCTGTAGTCCGTCTGTCTCCGTCTGTCTGTAAACTTTTCACATTTTCGACTTCTTCTCAAGAACCACTGGGCCAATTTTAACGAAACTTGCCACAAAGCATCCTTTGGTGAAGGGGATTCAAGTTTGTTCAAATGAAGGGCCAAGCCCTCTTCCAAGGGGAGATAATTATGAATTAATGAAAAATTAATGGTATCTTTTAAAAATCTTCTCCAGAACCACTGGGCCAAGAAAGATGAAACTCATGTGGAAGCATCCTCAGGTAGTGTAGATTCAAATTCGTTCAAATCATGACCCCCGGGGGTAGGGCGGGGCCACAATGGCCGACCAAAGTTTTACATAGAAATATATAAGAAAATTCTTTAAAAAATCTTCTTCTCAAGAATAGCAAAGCCATGATTGATCATATTTATAAGGAAGCATCCTCAGGTAGTGTAGATTCAAGTTTGTTCAAATCATGACCCCCGGGGGTAGGGCGGGGCCACAATGGCCGACCAAAGTTTTACATAGAAATGTATAGGAAAATTCTTTAAAAAATCTTCTTCTCAAGAATAGCAAAGCCATGATTGATCATATTTATAAGGAAGCATCCTCAGGTAGTGTAGATTCAAGTTTGTTCAAATCATGACCCCCGGGGGTAGGGCGGGGCCAAAATGGCCAACCAAAGTTTTACGTAGAAATATATAGGAAAATTCTTTAAAAATCGTCTTCTCAAGAATAGCAAAGCCATGATTGGTCATGGGACTACTTTTTGATTTAAACTTTTCAAAATAAACCAATTTCTACTTTTTCCTAGCCACATTGCTCAGGTGAGCGATGTGGCCCATGGGCCTCTTGTTTTTCTTTTATAAAAGGAAACAACTCCCTATCATTAACTATTCAAAAAGAATATCCTGACCAATTCTTTTTTAGGTCACCTGAGTAAACTCAGGTGACCTATTGCTATCTGTTTTCGTCCGTCGTCATGCGTCGTGTGTTAACATTTGAACATTTTCAGCTTCTTCTCTGCAACTACTGAACCAATTTCAACCAAATTTGGCACAAAGCATCTATGGGTGAAGGGGAACAAAAATTATGAATTTCATGATCCCTGCCCTCCTGGGGCCTGAGGGGTGGGGCCAAAACCACTAAAATTAATGCAATCTTTAAAAATCTTCTTCTTTACTCCTGGACATCAAGCAGTCAAACTATTTGCATGATTGTAATCAGCATTGAGTCCTCTACCAAAATTGTGAAATTCATGGCCCTGGGGTCAGGGGTTCTAGTGCTAGGGCTGGGCTAAATAAGTATATAGTGAAAATGCATTATTTCTTTGAAAATCTTCTTCTCTGCTCCTGGGTATTAAATAAACCAACTGAGTACATAGTTATGATGAGCAAGAGTGCCTCTACCAAAATTGTGAATTTTATGGCCCCAGGGTCAGGAGTTCTGGTGTTAGGGTGGGGCTCTATTGATTAGTGAAAATACATGATTTCTTTGAAAATCTTCTTCTCTGCCCCTGGGTATTAAATAAACCAACTAAGTACATATTTATGATGAGCAAGAGTGCTTCTACCAAAATTGTGAATTTTATGGTCCCAGGGTCAGGGGTTCTGGTGTTAGGGCGGGGCTCTATAGATTATATAGTAAAAATACTTGAATTCTTTCAAAATCTTCTTCTCTGCTCCTAGGAATTAAATAAACTAACTAAGTACATAGTTATGATGAGCAAGAATGCCTCTTCTAAAATTATGAATTTTATGGCCCCAGGGTCTGGGGATCTGGTGTTAGGCTGGGGCTCTATTGATTATATAGTGAAAATACATTAAATCTTTGAAAATTTTCTTCTCTGTCTCTGGGTATGAAGCAGATGAACTACCTATATAGTTATGATGAGCAAGGGCCCTAATCTTGCAGAATTGTGAATTTCAAGGCCTCAGGGTCAGGGGTGGGGGGGGGGAGGTTCTACTTATATACTGAAAATGAATTAATTGTTTGAAATCTGCTCCTTTGTATTTATAAAACATTTATTTATTTTTTGATAGGCAATTTTAAGGGTGCCTTTTAAAAATTTATGCAATGTGTGGACCTAAGGTCAGGGGTTTATGTCACAGTGTTAGGGGCACTACTGATTATTGTTGGATATTACTGATCAGTTGGAGTGCATTTTTGTTCCCCTACCCTGCGTATGGGTATTGACAGTAACCAAGCTTAGCAACTGCTAAGTGTATTGTTATGATGATCAATGGTGCCTCTTTCAAAATTGTGAATGCCATATAGCATCTGGCTTAAAACATGAATCAAATTCAATACACTGTAACTGGGAAGTTGTTGCATAATGCTCAGGTGACCTATAAGGCCCGTGGGCCTCTTGTATTTTTAAAGATGATTTATTAAAATTCAACAGAAATAATAAAATACCAGTACATTGTAAAAGCATTCATACCTAATTTTGAAAAGAACCAAAATGAATAATTCTTATCTTAAAAGGGGGAACAGATTTTAAAAATGGGAATTCAAACTGCAGATTATTTTTTTAAGTTTTCATTTGTATTGAACATTATTAAGTGAGTAAAAGAAGAAATTGAATATGAACATGGAACAAAAAGTGCAAGTGGTTTATTTATTTATTTATTTTGCTAATTAATGGTTTTAAATTTCATTGATTTAGTTGTTTTTATTACCTTTGGTATTGTGCTGCAGTTTAACTTGATGTTAAGTTTCTTGCATGCTAAATCTCTAGTATTTCAGTTTGATGCTACTTTTGTTTTCTAGTTTTATTTATTTATGAATATTGTAAGAATATTTTTCCAGCTGAAGGAAAGGAAACAAAAAATCCAGAATCTGAATTAATTTTTCTTAAATTTAATTTATTTAAAGGAAACTTTTTTTCTGCAAAAAATTTTCATTGTGAGGGAGATATTAATTTCTCATGCTTTATTAATATAGGCTTAATCACTCAATATTAATTGTTGAATCAGGTTTGAAAAGCTTTTTTGAATAAATCTATGTGAGAATAAACATTGCTTACTGGCTAAAAGTAGTTTGCAAATAGATTTTGGTTGTTTATCCAAGCATTTGCTTATAGATATTCTTATAAATGATTTATAATTTTGTTCGTGACTACATGTAGTTGAACTATTTCAGTAAATCTGAGTCCTGTAAATGAAATCTTTGGATACATATCTTCGAAAATATAGATAATGTGAAAAACGAAGCATGATTATCATATTCAGATGATATAAAATTTTGAAAACATATTGGAAACTGTAATCAGATGTTTTGGTTTAAAATTTGATATGAATGATTTTCCCTTTATTAATGATGTAATACACTTTCTTCAGGCTGCTGAGAAAGAGAGAATGATGAACAGTGAGAGTATGACGAGTTTGGCTCAGTCCGAGCCTGAGATGAACGACGCATCATCTCAGATTCAGCAGCCAGACTCGAGCGAGTCCGTCGACAACACCGAATCCTCCCACGCCAATAACCAGATGACGGTCGACAACAACCAGGAAAATGACACCGAAAACCAGGAGAACCAGAGTCAGTCAGATAATAATAATACAGGTACGTCTCACGTCATAACTAAATATAACATAAACCGGATCATGTTATATCAAACAAATCCAATACACAGCATGCAAAATGTGTTCATTTCAGAATGTACAGACACAAAGAAAAAAACAGATGAAGAGAAAAATTCTGAGAATATTGAGAATCAGACAAAGTGTTTATCTAACATTATGGACCCAGCAATCAGTGACAATGACAATGAAGTGACTATAGACATCAAGCGCTCAGCAGATGCACTCATGTGTAATGGACACGGTGAATCTCAATCTCAGGTAGACACCAACAGAAACTCCACGAATGATCAGGACACATGTGAATCTAACAGTGTGGGGGGTGAGGGGAATCCAATGGAAGAGGGATCCACCGATGACAATCAGCGGCGGTCCCAGAGCCCCGGGGTTCATAGCTCCTCCTCCCCCAGTGAAAAAAGCAACTCCTCAGGTGAGCAGAGCATTTAATTAGAGACTTCATAGCTCCTCCCCCCCCAGTGAAAAAAACAACTCCTCAGGTGAGCAGAGCATTTAATTAGAGACTTCATAGCTCCTCCTCCCCCAGTGATAAAAGCAACTCCTCAGGTGAGCAGAGCATTTAATTAATTTAATTAGAGACTTCATAGCTCCTCCCCCCCCCCCCCCCAGTGATAAAAGCAACTCCTCAGGTGAGCAGAGCATTTAATAAGGGACTTCATAGCTCCTCCTCCCTCAGTGATAAAAGCAACTCCTCAGGTGAGCAGAGCATTTAATAAGGGACATCAAGCATTTGCCTAGAAAACTCTACTCTAATTATCCCCTTGCATCAGAGTTGGAAAGGATATAGTAGGTGTATGTTTGTTTGTGGGTGAGTGAATTAATCCTGTGTGAAATGTAAGTGACGTAGTTTGCATCAAGATGGATGTCGAATGCTGTTGTGATTTATAGATGTACTCTCATCTAGGGTTGGAGGGGATGCTCTGCCTTGCGGTGCCCTTCTTTCTTTCTATATGCTAGTAACAAGAAATTCAGTATAAATGCTGTTAACCACTTGTATTTTTTTTTTAGAAAAGAATTCCTTGATTCAACCAGATCCAGTCAGACAAGTTTGTGATATTCCTGTCAAAATAGCAGATCTAGGCAATGCCTGTTGGACAGTATGTATTTTATAATGCTGTGCATATTTTGATTGTATTATTGTATATGTAGACGTGTTACTTAGACACATGAAACAGCTTTGTTATTTCTTAGAAAGGTCATAGCTTAATTCTTATTCATCGATGTTAATGCATTTACCCATCAGGTTCCCAAGAAATTAAGCTGCAAGTCATAAAAAAAAGTGTTATAGTAATAATTTGTGGTATATATATATTTAATTACCAGTAACTGCAAATAAATGTATCTTATACTTCATTGTAAATTATAAGAATTTTAATTGAATTGTTTGAATGTCGTGAGATTTAATCTGTAGTAAATAATACATCTAAGTGACTGTTGATGTCTAATCATTGTACTCTATTGCTGTAGTTTTTACACTTCACTGATGACATCCAGACAAGGCAGTACCGAGCCCTGGAGGTCCTGATAGGGGCGGGGTATGGTCCCCCCGCAGACATCTGGAGCACAGCCTGTATGGTAGGTCCTCAACACCTCTGTATGGAACAGAAATTACATACATATCATATTCTCTTGATTACTGCATAGTTCCTACCTGTCCAACACTCAATAACATCTGAAAAATTACAGACTAGTTTGTCAAGACAGATACACAGAGTTGTGGAAAACTTTTTCAGATAGCCGGTCATTCGGACCGACAAGAAAACAAAATAAGCCGGTCCGAAGTGATTTTTGTCGGTCCGAAATAGTACGTCGCAAAATGGAAAAAAAAAACTTAATATATATTCACTTTATAACACAATCTTTTTAATAAATCATGATAATAATGATACAAAATTCAATCTCCATTTCCAAGTCCTCTTCCGTTTTCTTTTAATTTTGCATTTATAACAATACTAGATACCATCGCTTTTTGGAAGGTCACATTGCTAATTAAGCATAGTGATTGTAATTTTTTTTAAACATTTATGCATTTTGGAATTATAATATTAACCTAGAAAATGGGTCTAGAAATTGCAAAAATTCTTTGCATCGATACAAGCAATAAACGATCAGTAAAAAAACGAAAATCCGGGACAGTCGGGAGTACTAGATTTACTGCTTTCCCCACCTGTGCTTGCATTCTTTCTGTTGAAATTTTTCATATTTAGCTCCTCTAAACTTTATTTTTTTCTTTGATACGTTTTCTACCTAATTCTGCCCCAATTGCATTTAAATTTAATAGGTCACGAGAACCATGCCAGTTTCGCTTTCATTTACAGCCTCGATCTCGTTAAAAGAAAAGGTATTACGCAATCGCATATAAGGTACGACAATATCAGTCTTCACAACAATTCTTTTTCAGCACATGCCCTTCGGGCGTGTATACCGGTCATTTTAACCCAGCCCATTGAAATTTGTACATGCCCTACTCAAAATTCATTCAAATAGCAGAGATATGATTGTGCAACAAAAAATAAGGTATATATATTAACTATAAGGACAGTGTTTCTGTTTTTTATTCACTCGATCTTTAGTTTAAATTGATTCCAGAATTTTAAATCAACCGTGGCCTGCCTGTCTGCCATTTTCGTATGCGTTTTTGTTCACAACTTTTGACTCACATGCTGGTCGTTTGTTGGACGGTATAGCAGAACTGAATTTTTGAAATAGGATCATGATCATCATGACAGCAGTCCACTGCTCGTGGTATCATTAAACATATTGTAATTTAGCAAGAAACATCGAGAAAACAAATCGGTTAAATTAAACACTTTAATGATTACGATTGACAATCATTTGATAGGTTGTACCGATAATGTAACGTAAGACAAATGTAGACTGGCAATTCAGATAAAGACATTACATAGCAAGTTTACACGAATAACTGGGGTACGACAGAAGAAATAGCAAGTAAACATCGTTAATCGAAAGAAAATTCATACATGCCCTTCGGGCATTTAATTTGAGAATTTTCACATGCCCGCTGGCAAATTTACCAGGTCCCGGGCATGGGGCACCCAGGTTATTTCGAAGACTGCAATATTAAGAAGGGAAATGCACATGATAAATAGAAAAACAAAAAGCTTTAACAGAAAGAGGGGGCCGGTCATGTGGACCGACACTGATAGCATTTTTACCGGTCATGCGAATTTTTTGTCGGTTTTGCCGGCATGACCGGCACTTTTCCACAACTCTGATACACCATACTAACTTTCAATATTTCAAATTATACAATCATTTACTGGTAGGTGGTTAGGGCAAAAAGCTTATTTTTTAAGAATATTATATAGAATGTTCTAGGCTTTATAGAAAATACAGTTTCATAGAACTTTGTTTAAATACCATGTTGTTGAAGGGAAATAATTCAAATAAGATTTAGTAAGTTGTTTTCAAGTATGAGTTACAGAGATGGTAAGTGGACTTTTATAACATAATAATGAGTCTTCCCAATTTAGATAATGAAATTTTGCTTAATTGATCAGTATTCAATTGTTAATTGTCAAAAGAATAAAGGTAGAAGGATATTCAAGATTTGCATTTTTTTTAAAAACAATTTCCATGTTCTGATGTGTCTGTGTAAATTTATTGTAAAAAAAAAAAAAAAAAAAAAAAAGTGTCTTATTGATAATACCACTGACTGTACATGCAATATACTTTTTTTTAGGCATTTGAATTGGCAACAGGAGATTATCTATTTGAGCCAAACTCCGGGGAAAACTTCAGTCGTAATGATGATCACCTGGCACACATAATAGAACTGCTGGGTCCTATTCCACGAGAGATCAGTCTGTCAGGAGAGAAATCCAGGAGATACTTCAACAGAAGAGGTCTGTTAGGGTTAATCTTACAAGTTGTATAATATCTTAAGGTAGGATTCTTCAGGATTCTTCTCTAGTTTCTGTGTAGATGAATTATTCACAGTAAATTTGCTTGTATGTCTTATATATTTAGGTGCAAGAGATTTAAAAGACCATATTTTTCTTTCCTCATCATAATTTTACAACTTTAAATAGAAATGGTAAACTGTGTTTGAAAACAAGCAGGGACTATATTTTTGGCGTAATGGTGGCGTATGAAAATATCTTCTTTTCTGCCTCTCAAAATTATTATAGAACGTTGAATTTAGTTATAATTTTTACGTAATCAAAGACTAGACGAAATTTTCAAATGTAAGTCAAATCAATAACAAGGAACTAAAGTTTCAAAAAATATCAAATAAATAAGATTTTTCACACGTACTAGAACTATGTTGGCTTTTAAATGCTTCAAATATAAGTACAGATTTGAGCCAAAAATCCGTAAAAAGTGTTATTTCTCTCTTAGTAAACGATCAAAACTTTTAGTTTTTGTATCATTTTGTACCTTTATGTGACAACTTTATTATATGTGAAAATGGGAAAAAGTTAGATACAGGAAGCATATAAAAATAACTAATATATCCTAAAAATTTAAGGAAAGTAGAGGAAATTCGGATTAATAAATATCCATTTTATTTAAATTATTTATGTCAGTTTGGTAATATCATCTTATAGGCCCTATATCATAGTATCTCTTTATGCTAAAAGAAAAACATTCAATCTTTTGAATTACAAGTAGGGATCGCATGATTGGAAACAGTAATTTTTTATTCTTAATGTCCAGGAAAAAGGTAATGACCTTGACCTGACCTTGCCTCTAATATTAAATGGTCAAATTTACTCTCACTGATACTATCACTTAGTGATATTGTCCTCTTGATTCTATGAAAATTTTGTTAATTTTTAAATACAAGAAATGTGAGAAGAATCCTATCTTAATTGAATTGTATCTGCAGGAGTTTTTAACACCTCTCAATTCCAGAGCTGCCAACTCTTACGATTTTGGCTTAAGGCTTACGAAATTAGCTTCTAAAATACGCCTTACAGTTTCTCTCTATATTCTTCCGATTTCATTTTTTCTCCATCAAAGTTTTCAATGCCATCTGCAGTTTCTAAAATTATAATTAAATATTCATAATCCTTACAGCGCTTGTTTGTATCATCATTTAGATTTCAGAAGGCCGATGGCATTCATGTCAATGTTCTAAAGTAAACAAAATGGAAATGTGCCTCAAAATGCTCCGATTGCATACATGTCCATTTACAAAACATCTTCAGCAGCAGGGGGCCTAGGTGGTCCCCGGACCCCGCCGTACTATTTGTCATTTCAGAATGTTGGCAGCTCTGCAATTCCAATATTTTTTTGTCCATTGTTTAGTTGACTATGAAGTACATCTACCATGTTGAAACAAAAATAGGCATTGAATAGCCTTGAAATAGTCAGTTACATGAAGTAAATGTGTAAGTGGATCTACATTCATCATGTTCATACTGGCTTTGTAATTTTTTTTTTGTATAGGTGAACTTCACAACATACCAAAATTAAAACCCTGGGGCCTGTTTGAGGTTTTGATGGAGAAATACGAGTGGGATGAAGAAGAGGCCAAGAGTTTTACTGACTTTTTAACTCCGATGCTGGCATTCGATACCTCGAAACGTGCCACTGCAGCTGAGTGTCTACAACACCCCTGGCTGAAGGACGCCAAGGAAATTAACCAGTTATAATCACATGTCTCTTAACTAGTACTCCGTCAAGCTTGGTCATAAGGGAAAGAACTCTTAATACACTAAGGGAGATAACTCATGGCTAATCAGACTTGTCCTTCCTCTGAATCCTTGTTTTTTCTCTCTCGGACCTTAACAAATAGAGAGAATGTTATTTATTTTTATGTGTCTGCCCTTATTAAAATATTCTGTTGAGAACATGTAAGAACATTATTTTCACATCATTTTCTTCATTTTTAATGTCCATATATAAATTATATATGTATGTGATACCACTTTAAACACTTTTAAGGTAAACAGAAATGAGAATTAGAGAAATATTTAATGTTTATGTAGCGAAGCATTTTTGCTAATAAAGGTTAATTTTGTATTGAAGATTCTTAGCACTGAGTTTCCACCAAAAGCAATCCTAGTAGTTTGACTTCCACAATTATTTGTACTATTAGAGCTAGGTTTCTTTAGATATTGTAAATAATTTGATTTTCAACAGAATCCAGTTTTATCTCTGACATTAGTTATTGCCTACTACAGACCAGCCAACCAGTAATTAAGGGGCATGACATTTTTATGCTTTATAAAATTATATTCCAGTTTTGTTCTCTTTATTTTATTTTGACCATTCAGTGATAAATGACGGATGAAAATTTCTTATGTGGGATATACATGGATAGGATACCCATGTATGTCTGAGGACATTTTTTTCTTTGGATTCAAAGTACAAGTAGTTGTAAATTTACACACAGTTTACTTAATATTTTCGAAGAATGCTTGACAGTCATCATTCAGAAGTATGTAACAGTGCAATGATTGTTTGATTTTGTAATCATTCTGTGAATATGTTATTCACAGTATCAATTTCGAATGGATCTGTCTGGTCTTTTCCCCTTAAGTATCCTAGAGACTCCTTACTAAGAAATATCACTGAAGAAATGTGAACTCTTTTTTCCTTGTGATTTAATGTAATAGATTATAAATGGTATTATTACCACAATCTTTGACCCAGTGATCAAGTTACAAGGAATGAACACACACAAGTTAGTTATAAAAAAAAAAGGTACATGTATTACCTGCATCTCCCAACACAAGGGCATTTAAGCTAAAAAGAGAGGAATTAGTGCTAGGTAAAGTTGTTATGTTTAGGGTAGACAGATAGAATGGATAGAGAGATAGTTTGTAGAGGAATAGAGCTAGGAGACAATCAGTTGTCAAAGAAACATTCCTAAAGGACAAAAAATACAACTGTGTGCCACAAAAAACTAAATGTAGTTTTTCTGATGTAAATTATTTAAACGAGTGCTTACAAATTAACTTCATTAGATGTAGATCTCAAATTGTCAGAACTTGTTATGATGTAAATATCAGATTGAAAAATATGTACTGGTAATGCAAAAGCATACTCTGAATTTAAATCCTGTACAAGAAGATACATGTTTGTTACATGATTTATTGTGGATTTGTATTGCCAATATTGTTATGTAGAGCAAAAGCTATTGCTTGCAAAGGGAAGGATGTCTTTGAGACATAAAGCTAAATAATGCAAAAAAAACATTCAAGCACAATGCAAATGACAATATTTTACAATTAGATTGAGCTACAGTTTAAGCTTGTCAAGGTTGAATTGAGGTTAAAGCAAGGGTTGTGCTTGTTTCGATAGGGAGAGAAGTTTAGACTGATTCAACAGTCCATATTATTTTGTGTTTTGTGTTATGTCGAAATAAAATGTTCACCAATTTATTTTTTATTCATTTTGTTTATCTTAAAATCTTTAAAAAATTGATCGGTTTGTCCAAGAAATCATTGTTTGGAAGAGTACTTGCTCAGATAGACATGGCATGGTATGAAAAAGATTGTATGTCACATCGAATATACATTCAATATATTTGATAATATTAAGTTGATAAACATTTTTCCATCAAGAAAAGTGATTTTTTAAATTCAATCTTGGGAATAAAATTTGCTTTCTCTAGTATGCAGGAAAAATTGCTATTCCTATATTTGGAAACATCACTAATTCCAAAGTCCTTCAAAGTTGGATGATAATTAAGGACTGTGTTTAGACCTGCATGTATGTGTAATTGCATTTCACCAATGCATGACCATAAATCCCAAATAAACAACAATATGCTGAGGAGTCTGTGTCACCTGAGCAGAACTTTGGGCATGCTCAGTGATGCTAGTTTTGTGAAGCCCACGAGTCCATTTGGGATTAAAACTGGCTTAAATTTCTGTCAGATGATATGTACTCTCTTCCCCAGCAGTATATCCCTTTTATACAGTGTATGGCTCTGCATTTGTATGGGCAGTTTGGCTATTTGAGATTGGATCTTGGTCCAACAATGAAGTTTGCAGAAGTACACTGTAGGAATGGGTTTGGATATATGAAAACAATATTTTTCACAACTGTGTCAAGTACATATAGGCTTCAGACGCAAATTGAAAAGGGGGAGTTACATTAACAACAACCCCAAAAATGTTTAAATTATCTCGATGTCTCTTTGCAAAATATGGGAAAGGATGGGGGAAGGGAGCCCCCTACCTCTGGTTTTGATTACTGTGGTCTACACATATATTAAGTCTGGACCACATTTTCAATTAACTTTGGTAATATATTTTATTCTCTATTTTATTTTACTTCAACCTGATTGAAATTTTAAAAAGGGTAACATCATCATATTGCTTGCTTAAAATTGTTGGACTTAATGTAAGTTACTTTAGAAATTATGGGGTAGTTTATCTATACGTATGCAAATAAATAAGTGTAAATACTGAGCTTTATCGTAAAAGTTCGATTTTTTTCTGCATTTTGCCCGGTCATCAAGAGTGACGCATTTTACCCATATCATTCATTTTTAGAATCATCGTTGTAAGCATTAATGAATAACGCTCTTCTTTGTAAGGAAGATAAGAAAGTAAATTTCCCGCAAAATGAAAGTACACTTCAATTCTTTTTAAAGAGAGAGAAAATAACGGCGATTGATTAAATCATAACTGATAACACGAAATGATGACACCAAGAAAATTAAGACAGCACCAATATCAATCATTTAATCAAGAAAATTGAAGCTGTTTAGATGAAGGGATACCTTTCAGATGACCAGAATCTTTGTTTTGCAATTTTGGGTATGTATAAACAAAGACTAGACAAAGATAAAGAGGCCCCCACAATCTTTATTTAACGTTAGCTTATACAGATTGAATAAGCCATTACCTTATTTAGCTTTTCAAGAGAAAAGAAATAAAAGATTTTTCAATACGATTTTTCATAAGTTTTTTTTTTTTTACATGAAATAGACAAACGTCATAAAGGTGCAGACAAACATGAGGTCCAAAAAGTTACATTTTAGTTGTAATGCCCTGTTCACATGGAGAGTTTAATTCGAATTAAACGTAAGTTACTGCGAATTGAATTCGAACAGAATTCACATGGATAATTTAATGTGAATTAGATTAATTCAAATTAATTTACTGCGCATTAAATTACTTCGCATTAGCTCTTTGTGAACGCTAAGGGAAGCTAATTCGAATTAAATTTTTACCCAAGCATAAGGCCCGAATTAAGTCACATACCACATGTCAGTGGGTAGATTTAGGTATCTGTGCTATTTTTGTCGAAAAATAAAGGAAAATTGTGCTAATCACTAAATTGTATACAATCCCTATATGATTATTATGTCAGATGTATCTGCTCAGCATACATGAAATGAATTACAAATGATGTCATAATAGCCTTACTGAAAAGTCATAGAGTTTATCTGTCGTGTGAACGCAATTTAATTCGCATTATTTTACTTTGCATTAGTTTACTTCACATTAATTTGCTGCGAATTAAACTCTCCATGTGAACAGGGCATAACCCTATGTGAAAATGGCAAAGTCCAGAAAAGTTACATTCTAGTTATTTTTGGAAAAACAGTCCAAAAAACTTTAATTTTAGCTATAACTATTTTGTACCTCAGAGCCAAGGTGTAACTGAGTTATACTTTAGTTATAACTTCTTTCAGTATGGATGGTTTTAAATTTGTAAATCGTAAATGAAATCATTTCAAATTTAAATGATATGTGTGCATGAAATAAAGGGTAGACAGATGATATGATTTCTCAAATGTTCTATGTTATAACATTTTCATTCTCAATCAGTTTGTTCTCTGTAATGATTTTGTAAAATTAAATATTTTTATTCGTACTAGGTAAAATGATGATATAACAAGGAAGACATAATCACTTCACTCCTTTTCCCACTCTGCAGATTTTGGATTTTTAAAAGGTACATGTATATACATGTATCAACATATGATCATCATAATGTCGAAATAAATTTTAAGTATGATATTGGACCTTTTCAGATAAATCTCCTGATAAATAATAAAAAAAATGAAAAATAAGTCATTTTTAGCTCACCTGAGCTGAAGGCTCAAGTGAGTTTTCTGATCACATTTTGTCCGGCGTCCGTCTGTCTGTCTGTCTGGAAACTTTTCACATTTTCGACTCCTTCTCAAGAACCGCTGGGCCAATTTCAACCAAACTTGCCACAAAGCATTCTTGGTTGAAGGGGATTCAAGTTTGTTCAAATGAAGGGCCTCGCCCTCATTCAAGGGGAGATAATTGGGAATTAATGAAAATTTGGTGGCATGTTTTAAAAATCTTCTTCTCAAGAACCACTGCACCAGGAAAGATGAAACTTATGGGGAAACATCCTAAGGTAGTGTAAATTCAAGTTTGTTCAAATCATGACCCCGGGGTTAGGGCGGGGCCACAATGGCCGACCAAAGTTTTACATAGAATTATATAGGAAAAATCTTTAAGATCTTAATCTTCTTATGAAGAATGACAAATCCATAATTCATCATATTTATATGGAAGCATCCACAGGTAGTGTAGATTGAAGTTTGTTCAAATCATGACCCCCGGGGGTAGGGCGGGGCCACAATGGCCGACCAAAGTTTTACATAGAAATATATAGGAAAATTCTTTAAAAATCTTCTTCTTAAGAATGACAAAGCCATAATTCATCATATTTATATCAGGTAGTGTAGATTCAATTTTGTTCAAATCATGACCCCCAGGGGTAGGGCGGGGCCACAATGACCGACCAAAGTTTTACATAGAAATATATAGGAGAATTCTTTAAAAATCTTCTTCTCAAGAATGACAAAGCCATAATTGATCATATTTATATGGAAGCATCCTCAGGTAGTGTAGATTCAATTTTGTTCAAATCATGACCCCCGGGGGTAGGGCGGGGCCAAAATGGCCGACCAAAGTTTTACATAGAAATATATAGGAAAATTTTTTAAAAATCTTCTCAAGAATGACAAATCCATTATTCATCATATTTATATGGAAGCATCCTCAGGTAGTGAAGATTCAATTTTGTTCAAATCATGATCCCCGGGGGTAGGGCGGGGCCAAAATGGCCGACCAAAGAAGACCATAAAAATATATAGGAAAAATCTTTAAAAATCTTCTTAAAGACCCAATTTTTTTACCATACGGTTACCTGGGGAGAGGGAGTGGTCAAAGTAACAGTGGTGTTATTTACCTGGAGACCCCCAATACCCAAGATGTCAAAAATCTGTGTATACGTAGCATTACACAGGAAGTCTGTGTTTGGTAATCAGGGTCAACATTACGTGTTTTGTGTCTGGTTTTGAGTGAAACTACGTAAAATAATTATTTTAGTATGAAATTTATTTGTAAACTAAACGCATTCATCGTAATCATGGTAATGTTTTGAAGGAAAAATAATAAGATACATGTATATCGTTGTAGAAAATGTTTTCCTTACATAAAAGAAAAAATCACGAGTAAAAACTACAAATCAATAATATTTATCTTTTTTAATCTTCAATGAAAGAATTAGAAATCACTTGATTAAAAAAGTCTGAATATTGAAATAAAAAAAATTATTAATCCACCTATTCGTCGTGCATGTGAACATGCATTTACTGCGATCGGAATGTTTTTTTAATGGCTAACAATGTTGTCCAAAATATTCCATATTTTTGATTCTTTGTGTGTTAACAAAATTTTATTGTTAGAAATATTTCTTTTCAGAATCGATCTCTATTAATTACCTTCACATTTTCATTACGTATATATACAGACACTAGAGGAAATTTGAGCATTAATTCTGACATCAATTTACGTACAACATCGTGCGGATTGTAGCCATAGTACAAAATAAAACATCTTTTAAAATTTATGCTATGCCATTTATTAGTGCTGAATATTTTTCTTATATCCCATTTCTTAAGAAATAATTTAAATTGTTGGACTTCTTTTTACGGCAAACAGAGCCGGTTTCTGTGGACGCGGTCTTTTTTCTATAGATAAACGTGGACGATATAACACTTACAAGTAACAAACAGCAGTGAAGATAGAATAGAAATATTTTATTATGTCAATGTTTTAATAATCTACTTTCAATTATTTTTTAAAAATGAAATTCAAACATATTGGAGTTTTCTAATCCGTGTGTATACTATGCGGGTACATGAAAGCGTTTGATGCGTGACCAGGTTATTGTTTTCAAAACATGCAAACTCAGATTATCAGGAAGCACAGGTAGCTGACCTGTCAATCAAATCAGAAGCTATTGTTTTTTTAATGATTGACAGGCGGTAATTATTGATCTTGAATCACGTAGACTTTGGGGGCGTTAACATAAAATTGGGTGTTTAAGAATAGCAAAGCCATAATTCATCATATTTATATGGAAGCGTCCTCAGGTAGTGAAGACTCAAGTTTGTTCAAACCATGACCCTTGGGGGTAGGGCGGGGCCACAATGACCGACCAAAGTTTTACATAGAAAAACTTATATATAGCAGAACTTTTTAAAAATCTATTTCTCAAGAATTCCAAAGCCATAATTCATCATATTCATATGAAAGCATCCTCAGGGTGTGTAGATTCAAGTTTGTTCAAATCATGACCCCTGGGGTAGGGCGGGGCCACAATTGCCGACCAAAGTTTTACATAGAAATATATAGGAAAATTCTTTAAAAATCATCTTCTCAAGAATAGCAAATCCATGATTGGTCATGGGACTACTTTTGGATTTAAATTTTTCAATAATAAACCAATTTCTACTTTTTCCTAGCCACAGTGCTCATGTGAGCGATGTGGCCCATGGACCTCTTGTTTACTGATACTTTTGCGGTGGCACACTCGTATCTGACATTAGGGTACAACCCTCAAATTTAAACTCTGATCCCTTACCAATTGAGCAAAATGGTATCTTAAAGCTGGTGCTAGAAGGAACATCACAGACTAAGAATATCATTATTTGTTCCTATGATATTTTTTTCTTTTAACAAAGCTTTGAGATTTTTGTCATTATTACATATGTACTTTATTTTTATGCTGGAAGAAATGGCTAGTCCAAGAAAAGTCACCTTTGCTGAGAGGAAAAGCCAAGGGATAGATTTCCTGGATTACTTGAAAGACAAAGAAATAAAATTTGTTGGTTTGACAAAAAAGGAACTGCGAAAGGTTTACATTGACAAATACATCCCAAGTGATTCAAACAAATGTAATAAGAATCTAGCCTTTGGGCCCGTGATACAAACCCTGTTTACCACTGGTCACCTTCATCTGAGGGGCCCTCACATCCATGAAGGTCGTGCTGCTCCCCCATATCTCAACTCCCACAAGAAAAAGAATGAACAAAATGGTAATTTTTAATCCTAGTAAAATATCTACACTTTGATGAAAGAAAAAAATTTCTCTTTGACAATTGACATTTTTTTAAAACAGAAAATCAGAACAATAATAGTGACCCAAATGCAGGAAGATTTTACAAAAGATCACCACCCAGACGAATCGGCCAAGTGGCAGTTAACCAGCATGTGGTCATTAATCGCAGCTTCATCCCCACCCCGGTGCCCAGCAGAACCTCCTCCCCGGCTCCTGACTTCCCTAACAGACCTCAGGCTAGCCAGAGGGAGTCACAGCCCTCAATGGATACAGACAACATCAAGAGGATAGGCAACTATTACGAGTGCATGATTTGTGGTGCACGATCCACTTCTGTGGCGGAGATGGGAAGGCATTCTCAGGGGAGACGACACAGGCTAGGGGTAGTCACATCCGAAATGAAGAAGCAGAGGTACAGTGTGTTGGACAGACATGTACATATACATCAATTACTCTAAAACTCCGTTATATATATACATGTGTATGTACCTGCTTTTACATCAGCATATGCTGAGTCAAGAGTAATTACTCTGTACTTTAAACAATTGTACTTTTGCATCAGCATTTGAAAAAAGATAAGTAATTTTAATACATGTTTGAACAGTACTGGAAGATTTCAATTAAATTTTACTTTTTTTAGGAGAAACTTAACAATACCATGTTTTTTTTCTGCATGATACAAAAAAATTAATTTAATCTTCATAAAAAGCAGTTAAAGCACGTTTATGCCAAGTTAGATTAAAAATACAGTTTCTCTTCAATTTTACAATGAAATTTCTTTTTCTTTTAGAGATCATCTAATTAAAGACAGGGAAGGCATTGCCATAATAGGAGACAATGCTGATTATCTTAACGGTACATACCACATGCAGATCAAGGAAAACGTAGAGAAGACCATGTTCCTAAAGCTAGAGAATCAGACAGAGGAGATGGTGGAGCTGTTACATTGTGAGATGTTGAAGAGAATGAGGGTGTTCACACTCGACGACGTTAAGAAGGTCACAGAGGGTCAAGGGGCGGTGCCATTAGTACCAGGTCAGTACATGAAAAAGTCACGGAGGGTCAAGGGGCGGTGCCATTAATACCAGGTCAGTATGTTAAGAAAGTAACGCAGGGTCAAGGGCCGGTGCCATTAATACCAGGTTAGTACATTAAAAAGTTACAGAGGGTCAAGGGGCGGTGCCATTAATACTAGGTCAATGTTAAACATGTTTATTTTTTGGAGGGTGGGCTGTGCCATTAATACCATTCTTTGTTGAAGGTAACGTCAAATGGTATTAATACCAGGTTTTACATTAAAAAGTTCACAGAACATTGTGCCATTTCTCAAGTCAATTTTCCATTGGTTTAAGTTGTACGATCAAAAAGTTCGAAAATTTGAATAACTTCCATAAAAAACAATATTTGGTTTTAATGTTGATTATATTTTAATTTAATATCCCCTATTTTAATGCACATCAACCACCGTTCTGCGCATGTGCGAATCACGTGATATTGGTGGTCAGGGCCATTTTTCTGTCACAAAAGTTAAAAGATTTTTCCGAGTTTTATATTTCTTTCCATGTGAGTTAATTTTTATGACAAGAACAGTTTAATTTGTCAGAAATGGTCATATCTCGGCAACAGAATGGGTGGATAATAACATCCTTTCCAAAAATAAGCATGGCGACCATTAAAACACAAATCTTCTGTCTCAGGGGAGACCTTTTTTCAAGGTGGATTGAGAATGGGTGCATCCTTTTTATCATATCTAATATGCTTAAAATCTAAAGTAAACGATATCTTAGGTATTTAATACTTATATCATTGTTCAAATATTCAACTATTTTTCAAAGTGCTAATTGGAGGTCTTTGATAGCAAATTGCTTAATTAGAAATACATATCTTTTCAAACTTGCTTTCACTGGGCAAGATGACAAGTATCATTTTTATCCATCAGCCTTCCTTCACTAAAACGATTAATCCAATCATTAATTGAATTTATAGGAACTCATTTATCTCAATAAACTGTGTACAAATTATTATATGATACTGTAGAGGGATTTCTAAGATATTACAATAAATTGTACAGTCGTTTGGTGAACGAGTTCGACTGAGACAACCATTTTTCGTCACAAGTGACCTAAATAGTGACGTCATTTTCACATTGTGACTTCACAAACAAGGAGAGAAACTTTATTCAGCATGTGCTATTTATAGACCTTGTGTATGGCTATGTGTGTACCGAATTTCATTCTAATCTGAATTGTGGTTTTGTAGATATAGAGATAGTTTGCAAATTTTTTCATCACCCCTCGTAAGTAGGTTACAGTAAAAGGAAGTGTCTATAATTTCAGATTTCTTATAAGCTACATTTTTGCTGTCACAGAGTTAATATTTTCATTATATGTTGACCTTTTTAAGACTTTGTTGAAGAGTCATGTGTTCAGACAATGACATTTTGACTTTCAATTATATGTGTCTCTGTGCATGTGAATAATCTCTTCTTGAATTTGATAAAAAATAGTTGAAAATTTATATTTTGAAAATAATGATTATAAATTTTGGATTTTTTTTCTGTAAGTGGTTTTAATGAAAGAGCCTCTTTTGCAAACTCATAATATTTTCTTTTAAAGGGAGTCATTACATCATCAAAGTCCATGCCTGTGCCAGGGGATTAGGAACATTCCACGTACCAATTGCCTTTCATCTGCGCAGATCAGGGAAAGAATTCCACATCATTAGATACTTAAACGCAAAGTGTGTCAGTGACATCACAGAGCAGTTGAAGCCAACCACCCCGTACAAACCTCCCACAAAGGTTGCTGAGTACCAGGAATCTGTGGAGATAGTTCAGGGATTAAAACTCCCCAAGTATGGACAAAGTTCTCTCTATTTTCTCTTGGGGAAGCAGGGTTATATTTTTAATGTACAGGAGATATATAGATATAATTTCCTGTGCACTTCGTAAGGTTAAAAATAGTGAAATACACGTACAAGTTAAGACCAATGAAAAGAAATATTGTTTTTTTTTATAGTTTAATTGAGGTCCAGATATCGTGCATGATAAGACTTTTCCTGTAATCTTTTTCATATCTTGTAACATTGTTAATTATTAAATGACAATATCTATAGATTGACAGAGGATGATCTGAAGCGAATGATGCCGCTGGCGAACTACGCTGTAAGTCGTCAGATGAGGACGATGATTAACAGGAGATTTAAGACGTCACTTTGTAGTAACCAGGCGGAGAAACTAGAGATGAGCGCTACAAGGTAATAATAATAATACAGTCAACTGTAGGTAAATTTAAGACGTCACTTTGTAGCAATCAGGCCGAGAAACTAGAGATGAGTGCTACTAGGTAATAGCTGTAGGAATAAATCATAGGGCTATAATGGTTCTATTACTAGATACATGTACTGACTTGTTGGGAAGTCAGGTTAGAGGTATGATGTACCTTCCTGGCAGTGTATATTGAAGTGTTTTTTCCTCTTGCAGAAAAATACTTGAAAATCCCTTGACAAGAAATGTGTACAAGAAAAAATTCCATGCTTTGATGAACATGGAAGAATTACAGATGCAGGTTGATATCCGGCGATATGACATGAAAGATTCTCCAATGACAAAATGTCCCCACAACAAAAGACTTCTAATGCTGGAGGTACTAAATTATCATTAAAAAACAAGAATAGGACTTGTTGATATTGAATTTCAGGGCTTACAGATAGGGGAGGTAGGAAGTGATTTATTACTGTTTCAATGATTGTTATTTGCTGCTTCATACTGTAAAACGAGAAAATTTGGCGCATAGGTATTTTAGCGCAAATGCAAGTGGGAATGCATTGGCGCAAATATATTTTAGCGCTTGCACTTCTCATTAACATATATAAATGTGATATTGTTTTTTTTTAATTGACTTTTTAGTTAGTCAAGCACGGAAACACAATAGCACACCCGTACTCGTCAACTTTACCTAGGTGTTGCAATCACATGGACGTGGCACAATGATAAATTTAATTTTAATTCCATTTTAAATAAAAGAAGTGGAGTATTTATGCATTTTATTCATATTTAAACAATACATCCATCGAAAGCAAGTTACTTGGATGAACGATAATCATAGTCAGGTATTGTCTTCAAGCTCAATCGCCATGCTTGATTGCTTTGTTTACCTCGAGGCGATAGTTGATTGACACGTTGAGAAGCCAAACTTTGAAGGTGCTAATGATAAGTATCGGGTAACAACTAACATTATTTTAATTAAATTATAATTTGGCAGAACTTTCTCGATCGATCCTATCATGTACAGTGCTAGTATATAAAATCCAACAACCCTTCAACATTACGCAATCGCGTGTTCCGGTTTACATGTACTTATGTGAAAGCTTTGAACACATACAAAAAAATAATATTTAGAAATCCATTCACGCACAATTAATTTTAGCGGTCTGGGGCTCTTGCGCCGAAGGCACTAAAATAAGTAGTGCGCCAAAGATTCTCGTTTTACAGTATTCCATAATCTGCAGAGTTAACTATTAGAAATAATTCTATACAACCTCTTCAAATAGATAAATTTATCTTTTAGCTTCAAGGTCAAATCAATCCTGCTGAAAATATAACATAAATTCATGCAATTAAATTTTGTTTATGAAGTTGAGCTGAAAAAAATTCTTTGTACCGGTATATCTGCATCAGCAAAGTTCATAATAAAATGAAAAGTTTCTTTAAATTAAGATATACTGTTACAAAGTTATTTTCATTGTCTTCCTTTTAAAGGTTCCTGGTTTGGCAGAGAACCGTCCCTCTGTCCTTAAAGGTGACCACTTGTATGTCCGTATGGGTAATGGACGTAAGGAATATCAGGGCTACGTCCATGAGGTCCACCAAAAACAAGTGGCCCTGGGATTCCATGACAGGTATTTATCTCCTCTGTGTATAAAAATGAGCATATTTAAATTCAAGCTCGTTTTAAAATAAAAGTAATAAAGAAAAAATATACATCGTCAAAGCAGTTTAGCCTAATTGTTTGTTTAGCTCTATCCGTAAGTTTAAAATGTAGTTGAACAAGACCAGTCCTTTTTGTTTTCCTTTCAAATTTCAAAAGTGTTAATCTGCAACCATTACAAATTTTAAATGATATATATTTTGTTTAAAATACTACACTTCCTAATGTATATACAATATATATTTTTCTTTTGATGATTGTCATCTCTTTGTGTAGTTTGGTGACCAACTTTGTGAACAAGAGTAAGTTCAGTGTGAGGTTTAGTTTTAACCGCCTGCCCCTGAAGCTTCAGTACCGCGCCTGTGAGCTGGCCATTGAGGAGGGACTAGAACCTCTGTTGTTTCCCACCCCCAACAACATCTGTAGGAGGGGGCTCTACCAACTCTCTAACAAGAGAAAGTAAGTCTTATTACCGCAGTTGCTCAATCACAGATATTACATGTACAGTAAAATTCGTTTAGTACGAACACGGATATAGCGAATTCACGGATACAGCGAAGTTTTTCTGGGTCTTCGTCTAAATTCTTAACAAATCTTTGTAAAATTTTATGGTTATAACGAACTCTGATATAACGAATTTACGGATATTGCGAAATGATTTTGAGTCCCGCTGAGGTAAAATATAAAGAGATTTACATCTTTTATAACGAACTTTCAAGGATCTCAAAATTTGATAAATTGACTTGACTTTAATTTATTTTAGAATGTATATAAAAATTCCATTCGAAATAAAACCTTGGTTATCGAAGGTTTTTTCCCTAATATTTATTTCCCTAACATATTTGGTAGTAATACTTGAAGGAAAACATGCATATTTTGAATTCGTTATGTATGGTTATGGGAATTTGTTATAAAGATATAACGAATTACGGATATAGCGAATTAAATTCACAGGTCCCCAGGACTTCGCTATAACCGAGTTTTACTGTATATCTGAATACATATCTAGATACAAAATCACAATATTTTTTGGTCAGTATATCATATGATCTTTTCCTTTTTTCATGCTCCCATTTCTTATTGAAATGGTATTTGTGGTAGGTTAAGTATTGATACAAATTTTGATTTTGTTGCAGATTCTTTGACAGGAAGATAGAGTCTAACAAAGAGCAGCAGTTAGCCGTAAACAATATAGTACTGGGAACTCTCTCTCTCTCTCTCTCTATCCCTATCTTCTTCCCCGCCCCCTACATTGTGTTGCGTTCTCCTATTCACAGTTTTGCATTCACCGTTCAATGGACCCCCAGGGACAGGCAAAACTGTCACCATTGTAGAGGCCTTGCTACAGGTGTGTATTATCTAGCTGAATAATGAAAGACATAAGCAAAAAATTAAGTAGTAATACTGTAGAACCTAGGAATCTGGACACTGACTCGTCAAATAGCAGGAATATATCAGTATTTTTCTATGCCAACAGCTATGTCTAGACCTAAATACAATTTTACTTCATACCCTTTGATACATGTACCTGTACATGTAACCAGTTAAATAAGGTACTAGTTTCATACCTATATTTCAAATTTGATTGTTAACATGGTTAATCCAGTGCTCTATTTTACAAAAGAAAAGTTTTAGACGGAATATATATATAAATCCTGATCATTAGAATAAATAGTGCATATGATTGAAATAAATGTTACTTACCCAAATTAAATTCTGATGTAAAATAACTATAAAGCAGATTTTTTAAAATTTTATCACAGTCCAAGGTTCTTTTATAAAGCAATATGTAGGTCCCTGGAGTTAAATGTTCTGAGGTCTGACTAAACACACAACACTTTCTTAATACTGGTCTTTCTATCTTGTTCAATGTTCAAACATTGATTTCTGTATTATATCATGTCCATGTGCTGATTTCATTTGACACATAGCAAACAATCACATAATTACTATTCTCTTTTATTTTGTAGATCTACTACAACCATCCCAAATCTCACATCCTGGCCTGTGCCCCGTCAAACAATGCAGCGGACCTGCTGGCTGAGCGAATTCTGGGGAGCAGTGTCGTGACCCGCAGACACCTGCTGAGACTCAACGCTTACTCTAGACTCTGGTTTACTGTCCCGGAGAAGATCCGTGACTGCTGTAACTTTAACAAGAGGAGTGATCAGTACTTCTATCCCCCCGTGGAGGATCTGATGAAGTACAGAGTCATTATTACCACGCTCGTCACCGCCGGAAGGTGGGTATTCTGTATAGTTCTACTGTGCCAAACTGAAGGTATAGAGAAAACTAAACAGTCAACTTAGAATTGATTGTCAGTCAAACATTGCATTGTTCAATTACCACTGCTTTTTGAAGACAGTATTAAGCAAAAGTTGATAGTGTATGCACTAAGGATACATTTTTGAAAAGATGAAATTTTTTAATAAGAAGTTCACATGAACTTTAATTGGCTAGGGCTAATGAAGGCATCAGATCTGGGGGTCATTAAACTTAGACAAGCTCACTTTTGATCTCAGTCTCACTTTTACTAAAGGAATATATAGTGGAAAAGTGAGACTGAGATCAAAAATGAGCTCGTTTAAGTTTTATGGCCCCAAGGCCAGGCATCATACCATGTGTGAAGAATTGTTTTACCTCATCTGCATGTATCATACAATTCAAGTCATCTTCATGAACAATAAAATAATACAATATTTTGAATGCTAAATTTTTTGTTTGTTGAATTTGATTTAAACATTTTAATTGTATTATGACTTGCAGGGATATGTAATGATATCTAATACATGTATTTCTGCTGTGTATTATACAGATTGGCCTCAGCCAACTTCCCAGCGGGTCATTTTAGCCATGTTTTTATTGACGAGTCTGGTCAGGCTATTGAGCCCGAGGCCCTGATAGCTATAGCAGGGATACTGACGGTCGACCCGGGCCTGACCTGTGGACAGCTGGTCCTAGCCGGGGACCCACAACAATTAGGACCCATCCTCAGGTCCCCCATAGCACAACAGTACGGACTAGGTCAGTGTGTGTAAAGATATTTCTACATCATAAATTCATAATTTATGTAGAACATGTTTATTACCCTTGTACATGTAGAACCTTTTTTTTCAAATTGTCAGATATTGAATCAAAATGCAAGATATTTGGTTTTTTATTTTTATTATGCACTATGAAATGTAATGCTTGATTTCTATGCATGTTTTAAAGAGCATTTACAGCTTTCCTGTTTCTATAATTATATCCTCTCATCGGGGTTCATGTATGTGTTTATGATTTCTTTTTTAGGAACATCATTATTGGAGAGATACATGAACGAGGTAGAAGTGTACAAATGTAGAAATGATGAGGATGACCCAGATCATCACTATGACAACCGACTCATCACCAAACTTCTCAGAAACTACCGCTCTCACCCAGTCATCTTAAACTATCCCAATAAAACATTTTATAATGGGGAACTTGTGCCGAATGCTGACGAGAGTATCAGAACCAGTCTATGTGACTGGGAGGAGCTACCCATGAAGAATTTCCCCATCATTTTCCATGGGGTAGTGGGTAAGGACCAGCGAGAGGAGAGAAGTCCCTCATTCTTTAACCCCGAGGAGGCAGCTGTCGTGTTTAGTTACGTCAAGAAGTTACTGACGGAGAAGAGGAGGGGGGTACGAATTCAACAGAAACAAATAGGGATTATTACTCCATACAGAAAACAGGTAATAAATACGGATAGTAACTCCATATAGAAAACAGGTAATAAATAGGGATTATAACTCCATATAGAAAACAGGTAATAAATAGGGATTATAACTCCATACAGAAAACAGGTAATAAATAGAACTCCATATAGAAAACAGGTAATAAATACAGATAGTAACTCCATATGGAAAACAGGTAAAATACAGCTACAAACAAATTAGGCATTATAACTCAATCCATACAGAAAACTTGTCAATATTTGGCCAATATTTTTGGCGGAACTTTTTTTGTTGGTCTCGGAGTGTAAATTTCATGATTTAAAATTTGGCAGGCTACTTCCAAACCCCTTCCAAAATTAAGCAGCTCACTAAAAGTATGTTAATAAATACTTATTTTTGTTTTAAAAGGTCCAGAAGTTACGCCAGTTAGTACATCACAGGGGTAACTTTGGGGAGGTGGATATCGGCTCAGTGGAGGAATTCCAGGGGCAGGAAAGACTGATTATAATTGTGTCCACTGTCAGGTCTAACCCTGAGTACCTTTCACTAGATCTCAACTACAACCTGGGATTTCTCAGGAACCCCAAGGTAGGAATGCCTATCCCATTATACGTCTAATTCACAAACTCAGAACTCAGGAAGTAGGGAAACAATAGAAATAAATCAATGTCTCTTTTTTGATTCTTATTCATTTTGATACATAGTCTGTGACTATTTGTATATCTAAAAGTTGTTTGACATTAAGACTCCTATTTCTATGAAGAAGAAAACAGCAGATTCCAACAGTATTAATGATACCAGCACTGGTAATATTTTTTCAGAGACTGAATGTGACCTTGACGCGAGCCAAGGCCTTACTTATAGTGATAGGTGACCCCAACACTCTATCACAGGATTTTAAAAAACATCTGAAATCTGTAACAGAGTTGGGAAGTGGCTATATGTGTTGTAAATAGTGGGAACACACCCTAGATAGTGGGTTAACACTTTATCTCAGTCGATAGAGTGTTGGATTTTAAATCTCAGGGTTGTAGGTTCAAGCCACAGTGTGGACACCCCCTAGGTAATTGGTCATAAATCATTAGTTTTCCTTCATTGTACTGTAGATTTTGAAATGCTGGAGAAATTTGTGAATTTATATTTGTAATCAGAAATACAGAATTATTCTCCAGTTACAATGTAAAATACTGATACAACCTGAGAAGGATCTTTTTTATGCCCAGATTCATTGACTTCTGTATTGCCAACAAGGCGTACACTGGAGTGGACTACGCTGGGGATGAAGAGATGGTGGAGGACATCATGCAGAGGCTGAACAACATCAACATCAGCACTAGTCTGCTGGAGGAAGGTTAGTAGAGAGAGAGAAGCTGAACAACATCAACATCAGTGCTAGTCTGCTGGAGGAAGGTTAGTAGAGAGATAGAGAGAGAGGCTGAACAACATCAACATCAGCACTAGTCTGCTGGAGGAAAGTTAGTGTAGAGAGAGAGAGAGAGGCTGACAACATTCAGTGCTGTCTGCTGGAGGGAGGTAAGTGTAGAGAGAAGGAAGAGAGAGAGAGAGAGGCTCAACAACATCAACATCAGCGCTAGTCTGCTGGAGGAAGGTTAGTTAAAGAGAAGGATGAGAGAGAGAGGGGCTGAATATTAACATCAGCGCTATTGCTGGAGGAAGGTTAGTAGAGAGAGAGAGAGATAACATCAGTGCTAATTGCAAGGAAGGTCATTAGAGAGAGAGAGAGAGACTAAAACACCAAATATTTTTCACAGAGAGAGAGAGAAACAGTGCTAGTTGCTGGAGGAAGGTTAGTGTAGAGAGATTGAACAACACCAACATCAGTGCTAGTCTGCTGGAGGATCAGAGAGAGAGAGAGAGAGAGAGACTTGAACAACACTAACATCAGCATTGCTGGAGGAAGGTTAGTGTAGAGAGAGAGAGAGAGAGACTGAACAACACCAACATCAGTTCTGCTGGAGGAAGGTTAGTGTAGAGAGAGAGAGAGAGAGACTTCAACACCAACATCAGCTTGCTGGAGGAAGGTTATGTAGAGAGAGAGAGAGAACAACATCAACATCAGTGCTAGTCTGCTGGAGGAAGGTTTTAGAGAGAGAGAGAGAGAGAGAGACTGCAACAAAACATTTGCATCAGGAAGGTTATGTTTTTAGAGAGAGAGAACAACATCAACATCAGTGCTAGTCTGCTGGAGGAAGGTTAGTGTACAGAGAGAGAGAGAGACTGAACAACACCAACATCAGCGCTAGTCTGCTGGAGGAAGGTTAGTGTAGAGAGAGAGAGAGAGAGACTGAACAACACCAACATCAGCACTAGTCTGTTGGAGGAAAGTTAGTGTAGAGAGAGAGAGAGAGACTGAACAACACCAACATCAGTGCTAGTCTGCTGGAGGAAGGTTAGTGTAGAGAGAGAGAGAGACTGAACAACACCAACATCAGTGCTAGTCTGCTGGAGGAAGGTTAGTTAATGAGAGAGAGAGAGAGAGAGAACAACACCAACATCAGCACAAGTCTGCTGGAGGAAGGTTAGTGTAGAGAGAGAGAGAGGGAGAGAGACTGAACAACATCAACATCAGTGGTAGTCTGCTGGAGGAAGGTTAGTGTAGAGAGAGAGAGAGAGAGAGAGAACAGCATCAGTATCAGTGCTAGTCTGCTGGAGGAAGGTAAATAGAGAGAGAGAGAGAGAGAGAGAACAACATCAACATCAGTGCTAGTCTGCTGGAGGAAGGTAAGTGTAGAGAGAGAGAGAGACTGAACATCAACACCAACGCTAGTTTGCTGGAGGAAGGTTAGTGTAGAGAGAGAGAGAGGCTGAACAACACTAATATCAGCGCTAGTCTGCTGGAGGAAGGTTAGTAGAGAGAGAGAAGCTGAAAAACATCAACATCAGCGCTAGTCTGCTGGAGGAAGGTTAGTAGAGAGATAGAGAGGCTGAACAACATCAACATCAGCACTAGTCTGCTGGAGGAAAGTTAGTGTAGAGAGAGAGAGAGAGAGGCTGAACAACATCAACATCAGTGCTAGTCTGCTGGAGGGAGGTAAGTGTAGAGAGAAGGAAGAGAGAGAGAGAGAGGCTGAACAACATCAACATCAGCGCTAGTCTGCTGGAGGAAGGTTAGTGTAGAGAGAAGGAAGAGAGAGAGAGAGGCTGAAAAACATCAACATCAGCGCTAGTCTGCTGGAGGAAAATTAGTGTAGAGAGAGAGAGAGAACAACATCAACATCAGTGCTAGTCTGCTGGAGGAAGGTTAGTTAACGAGAGAGAGGGAGAGAGAACAACACCAACATCAGCGCTAGTCTGCTGGAGGAAGGTTAGTGTATAGAGAGAGAGAGAGACTGAACAACACCAACATCAGCGCTAGTCTGCTGGAGGAAGGTTTGTGCTGAGAGAGAGAGAGAGACTGAACAACACCAACATCAGCGCTAGTCTGCTGGAGGAAGGTTAGTGTAGAGAGAGAGAGAGAACAACACCAACATCAGTGCTAGTCTGCTGGAGGAAGGTTAGTGTAGAGAGAGAGAGAGAGACTGAACAACACCAACATCAGTGCTAGTCTGCTGGAGGAAGGTTAGTTAATGAGAGAGAGAGAGAGAGAGAACAACACCAACATCAGCACAAGTCTGCTGGAGGAAGGTTAGTGTAGAGAGAGAGAGAGGGAGAGAGACTGAACAACATCAATATCAGTGGTAGTCTGCTGGAGGAAGGTTAGTGTAGAGAGAGAGAGAGAGAGAGAACAGCATCAATATCAGTGCTAGTCTGCTGGAGGAAGGTTAGTGTAGAGAGAGAGAGGGAGAGAGACTGAACAACATCAATATTAGTGCTAGTCTGCTGGAGGAAGGTAAATGTAGAGAGAGAGAGAGAGAACAACATCAACATCAGCGCTAGTCTGCTGGAGGAAGGTAAGTGTAGAGAGAGAGAGAGACTAAACAACACCAACATCAACGCCAGTCTGCTGGAGGAAGGTTAGTGTAGAGAGATAGAGAGGCTGAACAACACTAATATCAGTGCTAGTCTGCTGGAGGAAGGTTAGTAGAGAGAGAGAGAGACTGAACATCAACATCAGTGCTAGTCTGCTGGAGGAAGGTTAGTGTGGAGAGAGAGAGAGAGAGAGACTGAACAACATCAACATCAGCACTAGTTGTTGAAGGAAGGTTAGTAAAGAGAGAAAGAGAGAGAGAGAGAGAGACTTAATAGCATCAACATCAATGCTAGTCTGCTGGAGGAAGGTTAGTGTAGAGAGAGAGGGAGAGAGAGAGACATAACATCAACATCAATGTTAGTCTGCTGGAGGAAGGTTAGTGTAGAGAGAGAGAGGGACAGAGAGACTGAACAACATCAGCATCAGCGCTAGTCTGCTGGAGGAAGGTTAGTGTAGAGAGACAGAGAGAGAAACTGAACATCACCATCAGGGCTAGTCTGCTGGAGGAAGGTAAGTGTAGAGAGAGAGAGAGACTGAACAACATCAACATCAGCATTAATCTGCTGGAGGAAGGTTAGTTTAGAGAGAGAGAGAGAGAGAGAGAGAGAGAGAGAGAGACTGAACAACATCAGCACTAGTCTGCTGGAGGAAGGTTAGTGTAGAGAGAGACTGAAGAACATCAACATCAGTGCTAGTCTGCTGGAGGAAGGTAAGTGTATAGAGAGAGAGAGAGAGACTGAACAACATCAACATCAGTGCTAGTCTGCTGGAGGAAGGTTAGTGTAGAGAGAGAGAGAGAGAGAGAGACTGAACAACACTAACATCAGCGCTAGTCTGCTGGAGGAAGGTTAGTGTAGAGAGAGAGAGAGAGACTGAACAACATCAACATCAGTGCTAGTCTGCTGGAGGAAGGTTAGTGTAGAGAGAGAGAGAGAGGGAGAGAGACTGAACAACATCAACATCAGTGCTAGTCTGCTGGAGGAAGGTAAGTGTAGAGAGAGAGAGAGAACAACATCAACATCAGCGCTTGTCTGCTGGAGGAAGGTTAGTGTAGAGAGAGAGGGAGAGAGAGAGACATAACAACATCAACATCAGCGCTAGTCTGCTGGAGGAAGGTTAGTGTAGAGAGAGAGAGAGACTGAACAACACCAACATCAGCGCTAGTCTGCTGGAGGAAGGTTAGTAGAGAGAGAGTGAGAGACTGAACAACATCAACATCAGTGCTAGTTGTTGGAGGAAGGTTAGTGAAGAGAAAGAGTGAGAGAGAGAGACTTAACAACATCAACATCAATGCTAGTCTGCTGGAGGAAGGTTAGTGTAGAGAGAGAGGGAGAGAGAGAGACATAACAACATCAAGATCAATGCTAGTCTGCTGGAGGAAGGTTAGTGTAGAGAGAGAGGGAGAGAGACTGAACAACATCAACATCAGCGCTAGTCTGCTGGAGGAAGGTTAGTGTAGAGAGAGAGAGAGGTAGAGAGACTGAACAACATCAATATCAGTGCTAGTCTGCTGGAGGAAGGTTAGTAAAGAGAGAAAGAGAGAGAGAGAGAACATCAGCGCTAGTCTGCTGGAGGATGGTAAGTATGGAGAGAGAGAGATACAGACAGACAGATGGAATAACAAACCATATTCTACACCAAAAGAGTCCATAATTGTTTTATTATAGTCCAAATTTGAATAAATAAGACATTGTAGGCTACATTATGACAACATTTTCATTTACCTTTTAGAGTTTTGCTCTGTGTAAGATGTCTAGATTTTTAAAAAATAATCATGCGATAGGTTTTTCTAACATTTTTTCCTGTTCAGATATATTGCTTGCTTCAGCCATCGCAACCATTGTTTACAGCGTTGTTTACAATGTTGATTGTGACATCACAATGCCCCTGCATGCACAATGACCCTCTGGTGAACATGGCCTCAAATCCAGTGAATATGTAGTGTACTGAACTGTTTGCCTTTGTATAGATTATATAGGGACTATAAATAGACTGTATAATAATTTTAATAATTATATTTTTCATGTTGACTATATGCTTCTTTTTTTTTTTAGATGTAATTATTGAAATATCTAACAGTCTTATAATATGCTTTAATTGATTATTAGAGAAATAAAGCATGACAAAATTAAATTTATTGTATGCCTGCTGTTATTGCAGCTTTTAGCACATTTCTTCCAGTAATTTTCCTATGCCATCAGATCAAATAACTGTAAGATTAAATGACAATTTTAGCCTTGAGTCTATAAGTTTTCCAATGCATGTTCCAGGCTAAAGTACCATGGAAAAGGAATGTTGCATTATGAAGAAATCCCTCTTTATAAATTATGAATGATGAGTTATGAAATATGTGGGGGTTTTTTCTGCCTTTCAGATGATGATGACGATGATGACCCAGGGGATGAATTAATTAAGGCCAGTGAACACGACGAAAAAGAATGGAGAAAGGAAATCTGATTGGCTGTAATCAATTAACATTAATCCAGACGTGTCATGCTGCAAAATCCTGTGTGTCAATGGTTGTCAGATAAAGTCTTTCAATTGTCGCAAGAAAAAAAGTAATTATTTGCATTTTTAAGCATAATTTCATGGTATAAATTTAATTGAATACTAATGAGCTATAATTTTAATAGAATTTTTAGGATTTGCAGATTCCTTTTGATTCAATCAAATTTGAGTTTCTATCAGAGGTCATTGGATTTTTTATATGCACAAAAAAGCAATGGACAGAATGAGTGAAGCAGAACATCAAGTATTTAAATTTAAAATTTACTAGCAGCATATTTCACCATTACAAATCAATGACTGATTGGACCTATTGAATAATAATTATAGTCATTTCTTTTCCTCCTTCCACTGAATAGTAATATTCTTTAGATTTTTTTAATAATGCACAAATTATTCTGTTCTTAGAAGTTCTTTGTGAGAAGGAAAATATTTGAAAATGTTCTGATATCTCATTCTCCTTTAACTACAAAAATTCAGTTACCACAAGTGACTCATTCATTGTTAAATTTTTGATCATATTTAGTACAACCAGGGTGAAAGGGGAAGGATATATACCAGATTAATTTTTTTTATGTCTCTGTCCCAAGTTAAAGTGCACAGATGTTCTTTGATAGTGTACTTTTTTATCATTACAACAAAGATTATTTTTTAAAGCTTTGGTAAAAATTCTGCTATGGCTTGCAAGTGAAGTGATTTGATTTTAAGTTTCTTAATATGCAATCATTTCTTTGTACTTGTAATTTTTTTAGAGTACAATTTTTAAATAGGTTATTGATTACATTTAGTAAGCGCAGGTGAATTTTATCAGTTACTTCTCTTTAGAAGGGTTCAGTGGTGAAAGCAGTATATTATAATAGATGTTCATTTTACGCAGTTTTAAAAGAAAAAAATGGAGGCTGTTTCATTATTTGTGCAAATATTTTAGACATTTCAAATTTTTAATTAAGTTCAGAGCCATTTTATTATTTTGTCATTATCATATCCAGTGATTAAATTTTACTGATATAAGATCTCAGCCACAGGCTCAAATGAGCTCTTCTTGTCATCATCTTTTGTCTGTGCTTTTCGTAACTTTGGTAACTGTTTTACATATATGTATTCTTCAGACACAGAATAATGAAACATTAAGGAGCAATGTTACCCATGAGGCCCAGATCTTAGCATATTTTAAAAGATGGTTATTGTATTCCTTCAAACAAACTATTTTTAGATGACCTTTTACCCCTACAAAGGATTTTTATTCCTTAACATATCGTACTTTTGAATATTAAAGGGGGAATATTTCAGTACACATGATGACATTATTTAAGTGTCAGATGTTAATGTAGGAATTTATTTTTTTGTTGCATGCTTTTATTTGATTTTTAATTTTAAGACTGAAGAATTTTTAAAGACCCATATGTTATGTTTGGGTGTCAATGACATTATAGATACTAGTATTTCTTTTTAGAACAGAACTTGAAATATCTGTGATATTATGTGTAGGACATGCAAAAACTTTTTGTTGACCATTTCAGGAAGTTTTTCTGTATAAAAAACCTCCTCAGGATCATGAAACAAACTTAGACTTAAGACAAATTTTCAATCACCTATAAAATATTTATTAATTGTGGAATTTATTTCTAAATTTGCAGATAACAATACCTCTCTGAAACAATATTGAAAAATTTTAATTTTGGTCTGATTGACTTCTACAACATTTTATTATAAAATAAAGATTTTGACATAAGCTTAAGATGTTTCATGATCCCGGGGCCTGTTGCCTAAGATATCCAGGCATGTGTGCATTGTTTAGAGGTGTTGTATAATTTTATAAGCACAGACAATGTAAGGTTAATTTTATCAATTTATAAAGTAAGATTAAATATTAACATGATTTGGACAGGAAATTGTTGGGTTTGGGGGCTTACTTGACATAGTCATTGTTATTTGATCTGTTTACCAGTAATAAAACATAAATGATTTTCCGCTTTTGTTTTTTTTTTTTACTATTTCTTTGGAATAATTTTAACAAAGTAATAATTCTAAATCAACAAGAGTAAAAGTTATTCTTAAATTTCTTGAAATACTGACAAATAATAATTCAGAAAAAATTATGTATGGATTAAATTTTGTACCCTTTCTTTGGTTGTAAATGATATAAATATCAAAGATCTACAGTATTTATAAAATGAAGCTTGTTATGCATAAATTATTTCCACGTTTTACAACTGTCACTGATGTCCACGGCATACCCAACAAACTAGTCAGTTATTCCTTATACAGCAAAACTCGTTTAGTACGAACACGGATATAACGAAGTCATCTTTGATCCCAGCTATATAAATTTAATGAATTGATTATACGGTTGTAACGAATTACGGATATGGCGAAGTAATTTCGTAGGTCCTTGTGACTTCGTTATAACCGAGTTTTGCTGCATGTATTAATAATTATATGTGAAGTAATTTAAAAAAATGTTAATAGAAAAAAATGCTTTTTAATATAAAACTTATAATACACGAGGTCTACCATGTCAATTTCAATAGTCCCCGCGCAACGACGTCAGACACAAAGCCCTTTCTTGAAATTCTTGTCTTGGAACGATATCTCTCTTAACTTTGTTAAAGAGTTTTCACTCCTAACTTTAAGAGATATCTTATTCGCTTAACCAATATCTCTCTTGTTTATAGAGATGTCTATAATAATTTATAAAGATATCTCTCTTAGTCAAAAAGAGATGTTTGTTTTAGTAAAAGAGACAAATGTAGCTCTATAAGCTAAAAAGATATCTCTCTTAGTCTATGCAAAAGGGATATCTCTCTTATTGAAAGAAATAGAAAGAGAAAAATATTTTACTTATAAATGATAGAAGATCATAGACGTGAAAACCCTAGCACCACTTGCTCAAAAGTTATGGCCAAGGTTAAAGTTTATTTTAAAGGTATGTAAAATTCCAATTTCAAGGCCAAAGGGTAAAAGTTTTTGGTCGCCAATGAAAGGTCTTGTCACTAGGATTAAATAGTTGAATGTATGAAAGCCCAAACCCTTACCGTTTAAAATTTATGGCCAAGATTAAAGTTTTTTAAAAGTAGGTCAATCTCCAAGGTCAATGCCAAAAGGTCAAAGTTGTTGTTATCCAATAAAAGGTCTTGGAACAAAAAATACACATGTGAAGAATTAAGGTCCCAGCAACACCATTTAAAAATTATGACCAAAGAAAAAGTTTGGTATTTTTTGTGTAAAAGTGGGCCAAACTCCAAGGTCAAATTTGGTGGTACCCAAAGAAAGGTCTTGTCATAAGGAATACACCTGTGAACAATGAAAGCACTATCTCCACCCAGTCAAAAGTTATGGACATGGTTAAAGTTTTTGAGGACAAACAGCTAGACAGACAGACGGACAAGGCAAATACTATACACCCTGAATCTTCCATTACGGGGGCATTAAAAAATTGAAAGAGTAAACAACAAAACGGCAGAGTCAACTTTTTTAGGACATGCAACTTAAATATGATGGGGATGCCCCACATAAAAACTTAGTTTTCAGAAAGGATTGCACAGTAGTTTCTGAGGCGGAGATTCTTTAAGGGGTATACGATGAGCATGCACGCTGGCAGACAGACGAGCTGAAAATGAAGAAACGGTTGCCAGATTTTTATTAACAAGCACTGAGTTCTCTGAATACAAGGTGCACACCAAAAATTAATCTTGCACAGTTTGGAGTCTGAAGAAGTCTTTTTACATTTAAAATTTACATGCGCGCGCAGCTCCTGACTAAAACAATTCGATTGAACCGAATTGAATTTTTATTGATTTTAAAATAATTATATACCTTTGTGGTAATAAAAATAAAATAAAAATGAAATAAAAGCAAGCATGCAGAATGACACAGAATCCATGTAATTTGTTAAGGAAACGGTTAGTGTGTCAAAGAAACAATGTATTGAATGAAGGAGTGATTTTGTAATTGAGGCAACTCTTAAACATTTTAAGTAATATTTTTTTACGTAATTTTCTTTGATGGCTTGAATGAAAAATTCCTTTTTTCACTTTTGATGATGGCTGTGGCATTTTCATCTGCTTTTTTTGCAGTTCCTGTTCTTTGTTTATGAAATTCATGTTTACAATTGATGTTTCTTAATTAATTCTGTCGGCTTCCCGAAAGAAATTAAAAGTCTGAACCAAAGGACCCTCATCATGCACATTCGATCAATAGAATTCAAACGGGTATATGAAGGCGGTCATGAAATGACGTCATCATATGAATTCATATCGAGATAAATATGATAAAGTTGATTACTGTTAAATGCTCAATTGTCTTTGACCCGGGCACTAGCTGGTAATGGCAATGCTATCGCTTTACAATAAGCAGACTAAAGAGCGTCAATTGCAAACTCCGTCGTCTGGCTTATGGGGATTTCAATGAAAATGTCCTTGTACTCAAATTAGTCAGAAGCAGAAATGCCATCGAGTACCTACTCCTCAGAGTTTTTACTATTCGTACAAGCTAAAGTGCTTTTCTGTAAAGCAGCATTGTCCAATTGACAAGTCACATTATTTGACATTGATATGACAATACATGCATTAATGCAATTTGTCAAACGAACAATTATGACTTGAGTGCACTTTCTTTCTTAGGCTACCCTTCTTTGGATATGTGAATCAGAAAATCGACAACTCAGGTGTGAAAAGTGCGTTCATAATAAGCACGCAAAGGGTGTCCCGAATAAAAATTCTGATATCAGTTATACTGCATGATCATTGTAATAAAATATGCACCATACATGTAAATCATTCCAATGCTTAACGAATAACCCAGTACATTATAAGAATATAACGAACAGGAATCGATTTAAAGAAAACATAAACAATACATATGTAAAAAGGACATGAAACATGGATCCTTGAAGGTTGGATCAGTTGCGAAGAAGTAGTAAGCATCCTCTTTTGACCGGTAACACCCACCGTGAGCCTTTGAATTAATCAGGTCGTCGAAATTACTCTGCAGTCAAATTTAGTATTACTGTGAAATCTCTAATTTTCGTGGGGGTTTAATTTTTGTTGCTTTTGAGGTATGGAGAGACCTACGAATTTATGACCTTCAAATCTAGAATGTTATATGCATTACTACTAAACAGATTCCAACCACGAAATCAAATCCCCACAAAACAATATTTTTTCCTAAAACCTCGAAAATTTGACCCCACGAAAGTGTTATTTTACTGTAAACAAAGTCTACCCATTGATATGAAAAACGGCAGCCAAAATACCACCAATTGGTAAGTTATATTTGACAACTTAAAGCTGACTTAAAATCCCTGCAACACCAACTTTTTTCTTTTTACAGTAGAATCCCTTTGTGTAAAAATAGATCGCATTCAGAGCATGTTGCTTTGTATAGTATATGTTTGGAAGTTATAAACATCATATTCAGGTGCTTATAGAATATTACTACATAAATAAGGAGAGTTGGTCTTAGAAAAACTGAAGACATCTCGTTTGACAAACAGTTTAGTCCTTAGTTGGCTTTTGTTGCCCTATATAGTCAGTGAAACATCCAAATATGAATCAGACGTGGCGGATTTTGTAGTGTCTTATTTGAAGTTCACTTGGATATATTGAATCGATATATGAATGGAATTACAATTGTTGATTCATAAAACGTCATCCATTTATCTCTGAATATAGAATTGAAGACCTCAGCCGTTGTTTTCTACTCATGTTGAAGTTCTTTTAATGCATTCTATCACATAAGTTAAAAAAAAGCTAGCTGGTGAAAGAAGGTAATGAGAGCGACTAATACCCCATTCATACGACGAAAATTTACTTATGTGTGCAAATTTACATATAAGTAAATCTACACACGTAAGTAAAAGTTAATTTGCAATGCGTTCATATTGATGTACTGTAAGTAAATCCTTATTTTCATATAAAATAAGGAGATGGACAGAAATTTCTATGTATTTTCTTACTGTTTGGGTAAAAACCTAACTTTTGAATGTTCCTTAAAGACTACAGTGGAAATGAAAGAAAAGGAACTGAATGTTTTAATGACGAAGAATGGCATAAGAATTTACATACAAAGAAGAAGAAATATTAAAATTTTTCTTTACTGTAAGAGCCGTAGGATGTAAAGAAAAAGATGACTGTTGCCATCTACTGATTGACGTCTTCAGCAGAAATAGGACGATTGGAATCTTTTTGATGTTGGGAAATCTACAGTACATCAAATATGTGAGGCCATTATAAAATATCCTCTTAAATATGATACAGGAAGGATATGGAGAGAGAATAATATTCAATATCAAAGTCCATAAAACTGTACAAAATAGGAGCAGAGCAAACACGGACATCCAGAACATCAGAGATGGGATCACTTGCCATGGAGGAGTGAGCATCCCCAGCCGACCAGTCTCACCCGCCGTGTGTTCATTATCATGATCGGAAAATAACGGAAAAATCCGTCGTCAATTCAGTGAACATGTGTACACAATTGACTATCAATTAGTGTGAAAAACGTCAGTCATGTAATTATGTATTTTCAAGGGGAATGAATAGGATAATGAAAACTAATAGTTATCGATCTCAAAAAATCTTTAAACAATACAAATATGTTAAAAGGAAATGAACACAAACCCCTGGACATTATGGGGTTATGTGCCAAAAAGGATACTTACAAATGCTTACTTTCAACGAGTTTATTGAAATTCCTGTAACATTAACTTATATATGAGTAGCTTGCCTCGATTAAAAACAGAACAACTTGTACAGTAACTTATTGGTCCTAATTAGTTTATTATCTTTCAAGATATAAAAAAAGTTTGCCAGAAAGGGTGCAAGATGCCCTCGTTTTTGCAAATTCTAAAATTTATCTCATGGGAGATAATGGCTCATTGTTTAGAGTCTTGCCTTTTAGCCACCATGTTTACCAACTTATATTTTACGTACCAGTGCATACACAACCGAAACAACACTATTGATACGACA